ATTGAGACGAGCGAAAATTGAGTGAAGACAGGTAGTTCTATGGTTCTTTATTCGAAGGAGCAAGCACTTGAAACGCATGAAAATAAGAGCCATAAATGGAGCCAGCAACGCTGTTGGTTGTTTTATTCGCTGCGGCATCCGCATCGTGCTCGTCTTTCCTTCGATATCGAGCGGGATCGTAGTGGTGGTTCTTCCGGACGCGTCGCGAATCCGCGGCACCGTTCTTGTAGTAATGGTGATAGTTTTGGGCAGTCGCAAAACTTCCACCCCCGCCGAAGGTGCTCATAGAGTTACCTGCACTGCTAGCGCTCATCCGGGGCCCTCCCAGGTGATGGCTGCTGCCCGACGTTGCAGGCCCAGCATACGCTTCAGAGGTCATCGACAATCTTGCCAAACTGGGCGAAGGCCCGCCGTGCGCGTTGTATCCACCTCTCGTCGACGATACTGATGTTGGCGTTCGCACGTCGTTGTAGCTAATATTCCTCGCATTGTTTGAAGCCTGTTCGTAGTAGTCAGGAGCAACCTGCTTGCGAGCAGCATATTGTCGAGACTGCCCATGCATGGGCGGAGAGGCGCTAGCAGCTGCGAGAAAGGGGTCCACAATATGCTGGAGATCTCGTACAACGGCATTGGAACTTGACGGCGACTTTGGATCCATCAACTTGTTTGCTCCTCTCTCATCCATCAGCTTGTTTGCTCCTCTCTCGGCTGATGTTGGAGCGGCACTCAGCTGCCTCATATTGCCTGAAGCGTGAACAAAGTTAGGTGAGCCAGCTCCTGTGCCATCTTCAGTGTCTTCCTGTTCTGTATGATGCGCATCTCCAACACCGTAACTAGGCCGCCGATAGCCTTTGTGGGGAACGCTGGGCGAAATATGCTGGAGGAAACCGCCAGCCTCGGAGGAACTTGTGGCGCCCTGTGGACTATCTGGTGGTTCCGGAGCGTGTTGGCGCGGTCCACGCGAAGTCGGTCCCTGCCCCTTGTTGTACGGACTGTACGTGTACCCTTGATGTTGATGGTGATGTCCGCGTCCTGCTCCTTCTCCTGCAGCTGCAGGTGAAAAATTACTAGAAGACTGCAGCCGAGGTCTCCCACCTCCGTGGTCCTTGCCTCCACCAGCTCCAGAATGCTGGTAGCCACTTCTGTTGAACAGCATTCCTGTGGTAACTGACACTGCATTCGTCCCGCTGCTGGCACGCGTGATGACCTTATTATTCAGGTCGTTGTAATTGCTTGAATTGTTGCTCGGCACCGAAGCTGGAATCGAGGAGAAAGATCCCCTTGAATGTGGCTGGTTACCCTTACCATAATGCGGGATCATCGGAAACGATTAGAGAGCTACTACACACTTGGCCGAAACTGTAAAAAACCTATGGAGTGGTCTCTGTCATCCGTAGGTACAGGTACTATGTATGCAATCATGAAAGATATGTCTATTTGTCGTCTACATCCGATTCCAAGTACTTCCTGTTCTGGAACATAGTATCCCGCCGGAGATTCCCCGAAAGTGTGTTGCGTTCCACCTGTGCCAACTCCCCATTGGCTGGCGCTTGAGAAGTGCGATACCGCTGCATCCGCTACTTCACCCGCCGAATTTTCGAGAAATGACTCCACAGATCGCGTGTTGCCCGTCATCTTATTCATCTGCGCAACATTGCGGTGAGTCAGAGTCATGCTTGCTCGGCCTGCGTGTGCATCGATCGGACGCTGCACATGGTGAGCTCCCGCTTTATCATGTGGAATGTTAGAAGCTGAATCAGTAGAAGTCGTGATCAGAAATAATACTAAATGTAGAGAACAGTCATTGTCATGGACGAGATGGACTACAACGTGCCAGACCAGCAAAGCTGTGCCTTTGATAGAAGATTGTGATAAATTCATTCTTATGAACATGCTCCTCAATGCCTTTCTTCTCGTTCTTCTTAAGGCTTCTGCTCCGAGCATCATGCGTGGCTTCGAATGTTCGGACTTCGTCGGGCACACTAGGCTCCAGCCCTCTGCTTCGTCGTGGACCGGGAACAACCGCTCCTCCATCGGGGCCATGATCTATCTGCTGTTGACCTGGCCTAGCGGGATAAACCATGGCACGACCCACCCCGCCACCGGATGAAGCAATCATGTTCGCCGAAATTGCAGGGTCGTGCGGCATCATCCCCTCCGGACTGTGCTCCTTCAGTCCCGAAGAGTACCCAGGAACACCTCTACTACCCTGCTGCGTGATCCCGCCGCCGCCTGGAGAACCAACGCGATAGGCCGGCTCAAGGTGACTGTCGCTGTGCGTCTGAGGCAGTGGGAACTGATTCTGTGGACTCTGACCAATGTAATCAAACACTCGAAACTGCCGATCGATCTCGGTCTCGGAAGTACAATGGGACGAGGGCAGTCCAGGCTCCTTCGACAAAAGCCGACTTGTAGGCTCTGCCTCGCTGTCACTCGTCCTCTATGAACAAAGCGATGGTCGTTGTCGTACACATCTCTACTAGGTGGCTGTGAAAATGTTCTACTTGAAGAACATGATAACGACAAGGCCCAATAGGATAGAGATCATCTTCGTGAAGATCCTCGCTTGCTTTTTGCTTTTTTACACATGAGATTTGCTCTCTTGTTATCCTTCTAGGTGGTCTAGCATATTTTGGCTTAAGACGAGAAACATCAAGTAGTCATGGTCGAGCACCTGCCATAACTTGCCAACGAACCTTCCGTTTGGCGTTCCGAGCGAGGAATGCTGTTGCGTTCCCGAACCACCTGTCAGTAGCACCGTATGCTCGTCAATTCGTGCTCCTAGGACGAGTTCATTCTGCTCCTCTAGTTGCGCGGGAGATCCAAGGCCAGGAGGACCAGCGCGAAAGTCTGCAACCTTCCCCGTGGCATATTGTTGATCATCCTGCTCTTCATCTTAGAGTTAGCCTGCTTAACTTGTATTCTGGTGCATGCTTTGCAGTTTAGAATAAATGCAGATGCAGGTCCTCCAGTTGCTTTTTAAATCTACTTACCTTATCACCTTGCGTTTCCGTCCTTGAGGAACTCTTCACAGAATAGTAAAAACAAGGACAAACTATCAGCCTTCTTAACTATCGCCTGCAATATGACTTGCCTGCCTATTATTCTGCGCCTTTTGTAGCTGAGGCCTCGCTGCATCTCCGCTACTCGGGCTTCCTTCGCGACTCGACGACGCACCAACTCCAATATTCGTATTCGTTCCAGGTGCTGGAGACGAAACTACCGCTTTCGTTTTCGAGGAATGTGCAGAATTATTCGCATTGACTTGCGCGTGTTGACCAGCCTCGGGTTGCTGCGTAGTTACTGCTGCATCCGAAGCGGGACTTCCTTGTTTGGACTCTGAACCGGCAGCGCCGTTCCACAGTCGCCGGACCCAACTTGACATTCTACCTGGAGGCGTGGTGCGGACGAACACCTATCGTGGTGCGGACCAACACCACGCACAAGTTGCTGATGATGCTGCTGCTAAAAGAACCTTTACTGATTCGAAAATTTGGTAATTGACGTTGACCACTGCAGTTGCTTCAAACAGACTGATGAAAAAAAATCCATATTCCAGAATCAAACGATGAACCTCCAGTAGATGAACAGTTTAGAAGTTACGTACATGAAAATTGGTGCTGCTTGAAACATAACAAACTACATAAAAAACAAGAAGAACAAGCAGGTCCTATCAAGAATTACAGTATCAATCTGCAAATTATCTTTATCAGACACTTCACAAAGAATTCACATTTGTTTTTTTGTACATTTTAGCACTGAGACAGACAACGCATCATGGAACCGAATGAGCTCCCAGCGCCCGAGCTGAGTGACGAAGCTAGAAGTAGCGAGACTGCATCAAGATGCTCTAACTAGATCTAGCCGTGGTCATCGCCACGATCACGATCTTCACGATCGCGATGGGTAGTAAGTACATATGCGCATCACTATTAACTATAACTCTGAGAATGACTACTGAGTTAAGGAAAAGATAAACATGCGGGGCGCAACGCGCACACCGGGAGCAGACAACATACTTACTTAGTTCAATTCCCCATGAGGTCTGTGACGTAATTGTCGATTCTACTCCATTCCGCTTGCTTCGAAGGCGAAACCAGTTTTGTTCTTGTTCTTCTACAGTCTACATCACAGCTTTAATTGGTTAAGCAGTCGTAAAAAATGAAATGCTTGAAACAACTGGACGAGAAAATCAACACACACATTCACGTACATTAATGTAAGTCCTTGATTTATTATTGGGTAAAGTCAACGTGTAGAAACATCATCACGGAGTCGAAGTCGAGCGTTGAGAGGACAAATCAACACAAAAATATGAGCTTCGTTGTGCAGAAAACAAGAGCATCCTCGCAAACTATCAACGGGTTACTTGAGAAATTCAAAACGGTAACCCGGCGTCGAATGTTGTAGTAAGCAAGATGCCGGATAGAGTACATGATCCTTGTTTCCCAGGTAATAGTGCACCTTCACCTCCTAGTCCTATTATAAGTGTAAGCTTTTAATATTTAGTGGAGAATGTGCAATGAATTCAATAATTAGTAGTCATTCCACTTAGTTATACTTTCGCCCTTGATTTAATTTATGAAATACTCTAACGCTAACCGTGGCTCTAAGTCTAAAGAAAAACGTGTGATTGTAACTGCTAGACCTGAACTACCAGTTGAGGTTTACTTGTTCTTGTACTAACAGACACCATCCCCTTGTTACAGAAAATGACAAGCAGATTGGTGGTAAAGGAATGCAGGACAGATTTCTATCACGACTGACTTGCAAAGACACGACTGGCACACTCTCTCACACAGAAGCTCAGCAACTTGAATCCCTCTGGAACGACTGACAACGCAGCAGCACTGTGTTAGAATCGACAGAACTAGAAGCAAGGAGGACTCACATTGTCAACAACATCATGGACATCGAAAGTGCAAGAAACTGGATGCGGATTCCATATGCATTGTGTTTAATTGCAACAACCGAAGCGGAGATCGGCTAAATGTACAGACGCGGTTTCAACAAAGACGCGGAATTTCTTCACGCACACGCGTGGTCATCTGCTATGCATCCAGCACCACCTTGGACATTTTTGAACTTGTAGGTAAACTAGTGCTCTTTGAAAGGATGAGCAAGTAAGAAAGCGAGTGCTTTTAAGCAGTACCGGACAAGGACTACAGGCGGCAAGGTCCTACAAAAATAAAGCAGTCCAAGCTTTCCTTGGCTAGAAGACCGAAACCCGTCAGAGATTCTCGCAGTGACGCAAGAGAAACACCAACTGCTCCTTAACATATTAAAGCACAGAAAAAACAACGATCGCTACGTAGGTCCAAACTTTGTTGTAGTTTTCCAGCTCCTTGGATTTGTTCTGAGAAACGTTAACGGTATTATGTTCCTGTCGCGAAGTCAAAGTGTCACCTGGACGTGTGAGTACAGTCATGCACATCATCTGACATCTTCTACCAACACCACTCACTCAGGGTTCATCTAGGTGGTGATACTTTTTACATGAAACACTGACATTGTCAGTTTAGATTCATCTCTGCCGGGCATTCCTTCTCTTTCATGCCTCCATGTTTCCGCACTTGCTGTTGAGCGGCAAGAATATCCTGCTTGTTGATGTTGAAGTTGATGATTTTGATTTTGTTTTACGCTTGTCAACATACAGATATGTAGTTAAAAAATGACTCAACTGTTTGAACCCTCTCTCATGCGTCCACCCTTTCAGCGTTTGCCTCCCTTTCCGCGTTTACCGTAACCGCTATCGTCGTAGCGACCCTTCCCGCGCAGACGCGAGCTCACAAACCGCCCAAACATGGAATTCACGTCAGACACTGTGTCGCGCGGACAAAATGAGTCCATCATCTCTCTTGGCATTAGAGGTAAATAACCATAAAAAAAGCAAGGAAGTAGAGGTTCATCTTCTCATCGGCCTCTGCGACGTGGTAGAAGAAATAAAGTTAAACTGGTAGGGTTCTACGATGAATGTTAGTCCTATGCTCGGATATCGATACGTACAAGTTTGGAAACGTAACTGCTGTTTGCCGGTAGCTTCACTTTTGAACTGACGTATGACCTCTCGGTCATCAATTCCCCAGGCGCTCAGGTAGAATCGGATCTCAGCAGGACTGGGAGCGAGTAAGAGATCTCCCAAATACGTCTCAAATTCAACATCAGGTTGCCGTTCCGTGTTCCACACGTAATCTCTTGATTAGAAGCAGAGGCATAGACAGGAAGCAAATAAACGTTTTTCGATGTTGGCAGATGAGCTACAACTTACTAGGAGTCTCCGGACGAAGGGTTTCACTTACTTATTTACTTAGGATTGATTGTGTACGTTTAAGTTTAAATCATCACCAACATAATGCAAGATAAACAGGACGAGATTGGGGCTTGCTCGTTCCTTCAACATGCGCTCTCCCTTCGAATCTTGAATGCAGTTCGCCATGATAAAGGAGTCAATATCTTGACATCTGACGCTCGATAAAGGATTCCCCTCACCGGCGCGCTCCTTGGCAGACACCCGCTCCCTCAAGTGCTCGAAAGAACTGTCGGTCGGCACAACGATTTCCCCGGACTCTCCGGATGTTGGATATGAAAGAGGTAGTGGATGAGCTGCGAAGAACAACCTTACGTACTTTCTTCATTCATCCACTTCCACTTCCACGAAAATATTGCTATTGGAGTGGTTAACTTAATTACGCGGTCCTAAGCATGAGTTGCGTACTTTTTATTCACCTCATGCAATTGTAACCAAGAACAAAATGAGGTGGCGCAACCCCAAAAGTCCTCGTGGTCTATCGACAAGGTCAAGACCAACATGCAGTCACACTAAGATGTAGTATTTGTATTTGTAAAATTACTCGAGAATTCATCATAACTTCCGCACCAATCCGCGTGCAAATGCCAGAAAGAGTGAGTCAAAATTCGCTTTATGTCGGTCTTTAGGATTGAAATTCTGTAGAATCGCCTTTTGCGTCGAGGTGGGTACTTCGTGGAGCCACTGAGTCACTTCAATGCTTACACGCTTTTCCTCACAAAACTTCGGTATCTCCAGATTCAAATCAAAAGAACCAGAACGGTCAACAGTTCGTCCATTTGATTTCTGCGGAGTCTTTCCACTGCCATTGCCTTTGCTACGTAGCACGCTTTCGTCCAAGTGATAACCTGGCATCATAGTTGACAAACAGGGTTTGACCTTACTTTCTTAGGACCGACGTCGACAAGTATGTCTAAAATCAAATGTTCTTAAAATTTCGAGGAACTTCAACATCCTCATCTTGCCGACCTTTTTCTACTCAGAATGCGAACCACCAGTAAAAAAAAGGAACAACAAGATTATTTTGAGTAGTGTTGGTACTGTTTTTGAAGATGCAAAGCGAAGGGACTGTAAAGTCTAAGAAAAAGCAAAAGGAGGAGGACGAAAGAGCAAGTAAGGTTGGGGAGAGGAGGAAAATCAGGCCAACCCAAGTCAAGGACCTGTACAAAATTCATCCTAACTCAGAGATCTAGAAAAGAGTAAGAATAACCCAAGCCAGCAGTAAAAATTAGCACAAAAAGTAGTACCGTCAATCATCTGCATCGCGCCTACGTCGTAGCTGTGATCGCGCAACAGCTCCCGCGCGAAGAGGATGAAGTTTCTGGTCATGATGTCAGCATCACCCAGATCCAGGTTCCCAACCTCGTTGTGTGGCGGCAACCGTGATGGAGCACCGAAAAAGGTGGATATCAAGTCCCGCTGTAGTTTGCCAGGTATCTGCTGCATCACGTAGTCCGCAGCATTTGTGAGATGCCAAGTCTCGAAGAATTTCTGGTAGTTCTTCTCTTCCTCGGGAGTGCGTTGCTCGTCATCTTCGTCTTCTTCCTCCTCAAAGCGACCCTCGCACACGGCGTCGACGAAATCGAGGAAACTGTGTGGTAAGTGTGTGTTATGATCATTAGTATTCATGAGAATGTTAAAGAGTGCCAAAAGTTATCTACTTCATTGCGCCAAGTGCTTAGCGCTTCCCAATCGCAATAAACGCAATCCGTGCGAAGCTCAAATAATTCCAATGAAGATCATCAAATCTACTTTGATGTACCTCTTAGCAAGATTCTCGCCGCCCGCTTCAAGGACGTCTTGGCTCGGCTGAAAAGATTCCATCACTTGCTGGAGATTTTCAGGGTCTTTCTTTTTCAGGTCTGCCAGCGCTAAAGTTTCATCGTCACCGAGTCCCCAATAGGCCACAAATTTCACGATGCTGAAGTTTCCGTCCGCTGGTAAATACTTGGGCTTCCTCCGAATGTCTTAGAAGAGCATAAGTACTTGAACTTGATGTTTCTACGAAGAGGCATACTCGTCACAGCACCTTTAAATTTCACATGTCCGCGTTATTTCGACTTCGTAGGTAAGCAGAAGTTGAAGTAAGTTAGTAGGATGCATGTAATGGTTCTTCTAGCATTAATTATGACTTTCAGCTTCAACATTAGTTAAGAAAGGATCCATAATTTGTAGTCCTTGACGAGGCTGTGCCATCTTCGGTTCTTTGACGCTTCGCCGGAGGCGGATTCACTATGGGGCCACTGGCTTCTGGTCGTCGTCCGGTGCCCTTCCCCTTTGCCTCACGAGTTTCCGCAGTAAGTCGGTCTATCATGGCCACCGCGTCGTTCTCCAATCCATCCTTCGAATTCCTCAATCGCGATCGGAGAAAAATATGAAAGGGCCGCTGAAAAATAGTACTTCTTACTTTAGTAATAGTGGATCAAGATGATCATGGTGAAGAAGGTGTATCTATGTATAATAATAATATTGTAGGACCTGCTTTTCACGATAGCCTGATTCTACTGATGTTCGTTGTGAATCACAGACGACAACCACATCTACTTCAGAGAAAATTCTCCAGAGACACACATGGCATCATAAAAGCTGAGAAAGAGTTCTACTGCTGGATGCTCAGCCGAGCTGAACCGAGGCGGGCAGTATTGGCGCAGAGCTAGCTCTCGCACACTCGAACTTCGGATCGCCATGAGGATTTTCGTTATATCCTTGGAAAAACCTTGCTCTCGCACAAAATCGCTTACGTGACGAGGTACCTCACTTCGATCGGATCCACTGGATGCGGTCCCTTTACTCTGGAACAAGGAAGATGCGCCCCCAGCAGCGGAGGATACGAGGTCTCTGCTAGAAACGATAGTACCCTTTGGTTCATCGCTGGCAGTGTAGTTGTAACCGGAACCTCCATGAGAAGAAGACTGGTCCTCTTGATAGCGCGAATTTGTAGTGGTCGAAGCTGCACCAGATGTAGTTCCCTTTTCGGTCGTGGTTCTGCAACTCTGCCTTTGGTGAAAAAAGCCCCAAAAAAGCGACAAAACGTCACGTGTTTCACGTCGTGGCGCAAAGTCCTGCAGCACGCTGTTGCGGATGTCGGCAGGAGCGGCCAGCAACTCGCGTTCGGCATCGCGCGGTAGCCCATAGCGCTTGCACCAACGAGCAACTTCTTCCGTTTCACGTGCCGTTGGCCCCGAGCTACGAGGAGGAACACCTTTCTTTTTCTTAGTTGTTGAGTGGTGGACAACTTCGATTTATTGCTAAAGGAAAAATATACTCATGAAGGTCAAAAAAATCTGAATCGTGTAGAGCCTAAGTACCTTGAAGAGAAAAAACTAGACGTGGAGAAGGAGCTGCTAGTAGACCAAAATCTAGTGCTGATAAAGGTGATGAAGCTTTCAATTTGTAACATGTGGATCAAACTGTGATGAAGGCTAAGCAATAAAGAATCATCTGAAAGAATATGCGCCCTGCACGCCAAAATATAGAACATAGTACTGCAAGTCGGTTTTGGAGGTGGCAGAAGGTCTCCTCGTGACGACTTCGCGGAATGCAATGGGGACGGCTCCGGTGCTCGCCCAGTTCGTTGTTACGTTAGAACAATGTCTATACTAATTCTAATATTCCGCGAATGAAAATTAGCTTTAGCTTTGAGGTCCAAGTCTATCTAGACCTTGTCTCTCAACCGTAACCATCTAGTTGAACAAGAAAAATGTACTTGGAAGTCTGAATGGAACATGACTTGCTATAAATATGTATATCCCCGACCACACGCACACCTTGGGCAGTCTCATCAAACATAGACATGAAACTGTTCAATTTAAATATTGAAGCGTCTTTCCACCATAAGAGATCTTCCAGTGTGAGCTTGCCACGGTCCTTAATGTCGGTGCGCATATTCGAGACGAAGTTCCGTAGAAGCTCATTTGGATTTTTTGAGCTGTGCACCTTCTCCGGATCAAAGTTGAGGCGTATTAGAAGGGCAAAAATGGAACGAGTTCAGATTCCAAAACCAATAGAACTCCAGAAAAACTACAAAATCAAAGGAAAAGTTAGTATAACAGTAACAATCTTCCCCATCGCCATAAAATCACACGCGCCTGTCTTTCGCAACTCAGGGCTTCCAAAGTTCGACGGCTACCGCGATCCAGGCCATAGCGGTCGCAAAAAGCCAGCAAAGACTGACTCAGCTGAGGCGTGACAAATTTACGAAACAACGCATTCAACTCCTGCTTTGGGTCCCTGAGGTGTATTTAATTTTAAGTATGTGGCGGAAATTCTTGTTTTTCAAGATCACGATACTGTAATTGGGAGTGGATTCCCTTTAAGATTGTGCAACACCAGTGGTTATAGGAATAGGGGGATAGAAGTCGATGTGCAAGGTGAACCGCAAAGAAGTTTTAGAAATGTCGACTGTTGTTCTGTTTGCGTTGGGGCTGAGTCTTTTTGTTGTTGTGTTGAGTTTACGCGGCAGAACAGTCGCGTATCCCCACAAGATCAGGCGCAGTTGCAGTTGTCTTGATGCCCAGTCAACATTCTTGCTCTTGTTGCATAAGTCTCTTTATTCGTACGAAAGAAACAGCCCACTCAGTCATCGCGTCCCTTCTCCACCTGATAGTTCTATCTAGTATCAGAGTAATTTATAAGGTTTGTCAGCTCGCATGGTATGGAGTGCATGGATAGCATGGAGCTAAAGGGGGCGCTTCTTGCGTCCCTTAGAGATCTGCGCCCCATGCGCTCCATGCTACTCCACGCACCATGCGTGTTATAAACTGCTCTGTAATATTAACCCCCTAGTACTAATAGTTCATCTTCTACAGCAAATTAGTAAGCAGAGTGTAAATCTACCTTGGTAAAAAATCCCGTATTATGAGGACCCTGTGCGTATCCTGGATAGCATTCAGGATCACCTCGCATTCTGGATTTAGGCTCCATTTTCTTACGAACGCCCGTACGTCTGTCATTTTTGCAGCTCTGGAAAAAGTTTTCGCGTTATTCTGCTGGAGACAACAAGGCTCGCTTTGTTTTCTCTGGTAGAAGTAGAACAAAGTTCTTCGCGTGAAGGTAAGAAAGACCACTGGTTAATGTGTTTTGTCCGTAGTGCAATTGTAGCAATGCTGGTATAAAAACCACTGTCGCAATTCGAGCTGATGTGTGTTCGTTGCGCTTTTTGTGGATGAGTTCTCGTCGTCGTAGTGGCCTCTGCAGCTAGTCGTGACGACCAGTTGTATGAGAGAGTATGTTGTTGTTTCTCGCTACTCGAAAATTTAGTTACCACCAAGTGCTTGTGCTGCCAGGTTGGTTGTAGTCGCTGCTGTGTCTTTATCCCGTTTTGTACACTAAGATTGTTACTGTCCGCCACTCAATAGCGAGCTGCGATCCCTGTGATTTATTGATCCTCGCAATTATGCTGAAAAAGTTTCCTGTTGTTGTCCTCTACCTAACAGCACGCGCTCGTCCTCAGTTATATCTTGATACTGTCTCCTCCTGGTCGTTTCCCTGCGTTACCCTTGTCCAGAGTATTCTTTGTGGTTGAGTATAGCGGAAGTCAGCGTCTTTTTTCGTGTGGTAACGGCAGTGTCGTTGCCAAGTAGAATACTAGTGGCGAAGATATGTTCCGTTTTTGTCTCGTCCATGAATTTCTTTGTTTTTGTGTGTGATGTCTTCTAAGTCAATAGATTCCGTGTGTGGTTCCTAGCAGTTGTTTACCCCAACGAGAACAATCGTATTATTATCTCTATCAATCTGATCATTCACGATGTATAACGCTGCAAGGCATGATCCTTTGAAGTTGCTCAAAAGTGTCAGTCTGATGTACTCCTCATTCACTCGAAAAACGCAAACTGCTTTCATCGTAGTTATCGTATAACAAAAAAAATAGAAAATGAAAATGGATCGCGGATCAATGACTCACATCCAGATCCACCAGCGCTCATAATTAGATAGCAAATACAAATCGCCTCTTCAAGACCGCACGGAGGCAAGAGCAGATCATGAAAAGAAGCTGATTTATTTGATGATTGATTTTATTCAGACACGTGCCCATTTCTTGAATCATCTCTTGGATGACAGTTGAGCGACAATGCGATCCTCCATAGTAATGGTTTCAGAAAGGCCGCCACCGGCGCCCTTCAAATTTACGATTTCGAAGTTGAACCAACATCAGAAAATGAAAAGCAGCAAAATGTGCATGCGCAAGAAACTGAGCTCGTCGCTTGAGTAGCCACGACGACCTGTTGCCGGTCTGGCAGTCTCACACTCCGAGGAGTATGCTCATTTGCGGTTGTGTCAATTTTCGTGGATGAGTCGCAGTTAGTTTTGTCTTGTGTCAGGAATCTTCTCTGTTACCATCCCCTTCCCGCAAAATTGTGTCTGTTGTTCTTTGCCCTTGCTTGTTTTCAATCTGAAGATTGGCCACTCCACCCGCACAACTCCGACAGCGCCATCCGCGAACGAGGACGGTGATACCGCTTGTGGAATTTTCCACTTCGTCCTAGCCACTCACACTCACTGTATGGTGGGTAAAGTGTGTACAACTCTTTGTCTTTTGTGGGTGACCGATCTTCAGTATTCAAATTCTTGGCTTTGCCATGACTGTACTCACTAAAGGGGAAATACCTCACTGTGAACCCCCGACTTCCATCAATGAGCAGGAAGACCGATGCTCATATCGGTCAGTCCAAACATCCACAAAGAGATGAAAGAATCACGTGATCTTCTATTCATCCAAGAACAAGCGCGATCTTCTGCACTTTATTCGCGCAACAGATCAGTGCTTCAAGAATATCGAGCTGCCACGCTCTTCCTCTTGTTCCTGCAGACAAATGATCTTCTCGGCGAACACATCAAGAACCAATGTGGTCTGTACTGATCGATAGATCGAATTGTGGAAGCGCGTTTTGAACTATTTAGAAACTCTTCTAATCTATAAGCGCAAAGGCATGAGGAGCTTCGTCCTGTGAAATAAAAGTAGCAAGAAGTATTAGGACTAGAGAATTGAGGGGTATTAAACACTACCCAGTGTAATTGGAGAGGTAAGAGGGTCTGGGGCTAATATCGGATGCCAATGGGTCGTCCATGGACAAGAGGTGCTGCCGTGAGGGCTCAGAGGACCGGGAAGTAGCCCGCACCTCCAACACACAGGAACAGCGTGACGGACCCCGTTCTTGTTGTCCCTATCTGTAACTGTATCTGTTTTTGGTGTGGCCATCACTGATTGTCTTCTGTACTCGCAAAGCAGAGCTTCACTTCGCCGCGCAACAGCAACTTAGGAGGCTTGAGTACCGGATCGGCCTGATGCGGACACGAATGGGGGAATAGAAAGAGTCTGCCAGGAAGCGGAGAGACCTTGTGCGTGATCTCGACCGTGTAGTCATTTTTCGGACCAGGAAGGGCGTTTAATAGCGAGGTATCGCCTCCACAAACAGATGAGGAGGACTCGTCGTCACCAGAACCTGACTTATGGGCAGCTGTAGTTTTGTCTATAACAGTCGCTAACTGAGAGAGTGGTGCAGTTGGAGTTGCAGAGGTCTGCTGGTCTGTACTGAGAAGGGTTTCGTCCGATCCGTTTTCACCTGTGTGTTCGTGAAATACATGAATTGCTTATCAACATCTGACGTGATACAACTAGAGGAGGAGGAGCCGATGAAGTCATGGAACGCGCATCCTTATCCTTCTTATATACTTCTAGAACTTCCAGAATACCGAGAATCTATTATATATATAAATATTTATATATAAATATCTATAGTGCGCTGCTCGTGCTCATCATGTCGATGTCCATGTCGTGGACCAGTATAATAAAGGACTCTTTTTCACATGATCGCTATTATTCATAATGCATACAACTACAAGAACAAGTAGACACTTTGATATTGGTGATTTTCTAGTACCCTCGGCTTCCGTAGCCACATTGCCACCAGTTTCGTTGAGGTACAGGATGAATGTGTGCGTGCTTGTCCGGCCTTCATCATCTGTCCTGCAAAGATCTGTGTGTGGAGGCACGGCGCTGCTTGGTTTGTCATAGTACAGAAACCGCATGTCCGGATAAAAGACGACGTCTCGAAGGCAAAAATTTCCTTTTTCCGTCTCTTTTGATTTTGCGGCAGTAATATCATTCGATCTGATACTAGTTCTAGAGTTTGAAGTCGCAGTGCCCTGACCAGACAAAAATCCGTTTTGTTCCGGTATTGCCAGGTTTTCCTGACAGCGTCGATATCGCAAGCGCTGCTCTGTTGTACGCTCATCTTGGACAACATCTTGGTGTTCCGCTTCCGTTAGCAAATTTTCGATGGCGCCTTCTTTCTGGAGAAGCGTCGGCGCCGCAGCAAAAATAGCCGCACGCAGGGCCTCGCGGACGTATCCCCCAGGATCGGCAAAGTACTTGCGTCGATTACACGCGGTTTTCGCAAACAGAACGCCCTTGCTCTCATCTGATGGCTTGTTCATCATCTTCGGAGATGTAGTTGCTACAGCAGGCATTGATGTTGATGTAGTAGAAGATCTAGCCACAGTCTCAGTCGTGTTCTTTGTGGATGACAGAGAAGAGGGTGACGCTCTTGGGGTTGACGGAGTACTAGCGTCTCTATCTCTTGATGATGAACTTGTTGATGGAGTTGCTGTTGATGGGGTAAAAGATACGTCTTCCGCCTTCGTCCTTGTCGGTTCTGGTGATTTGCTTGATGAACTGAGGTTTTTGCTCTCACTAGAACTAGTACTGTTTGGTGCCTCATCTCGTTCCCCTTCCACATCAGTAAGTGCTTTTTTACTTGGCTGCCGCGCAACTACACTCTTTTGCTTTGGTTGTTCTTGCGAAAAAACGAAATCTTCAGTAAGATCATCGTCCGTCATCCATGGCAACTGCCAAAAAATACAACGGAGAAAGGCCAAAAACGAGGCTGAGAACGCATCATCGACCACGAAAGCTCCGTTCTCCAGCGTGCTATATGAACGAGGAAAATCCTCACACTGTATGTGGCTCTGCTTTAGTCGTAGGGAGTCTCTTTTCTTCTCCCAAGACGGACGGCCGGGTAGGTTTCGAACCTCGAGCGGTAGCAGGACCCTGCAACTCACCTCGCCACCATCGACTTCTTGTGCTCGTGGCTTCAGTAGTTGTAGATTTGTGAGAATGCAAACTCGAGCCGTCGTGTGGGTTTCGTAGCCTGTGACAATTGGTATCACCTCATGCTGAGCTTTAGCGGTCCCATGCTCATACGTGTCCTCTCGCTCATCCGGTGTATGCGCAAGCGTTGAACTTGAAACTGATCGTCCAATCATATCCTTTTCTGTACTATCAGATGTGACTAAGCTCGATTGCAGTCGCCGAAAATCTTCACAGCTAGGGACCACAACGACTAGGCACGTGGCGTCTGGCACTTCACTGCTAGGAGCTGTTGCGAATTTAGCAGCGTCCCAAATCGAAATACTTCCATCTCCACGAGCCTTCCGGAGTATGCGATCCAGTGATCCAGTGTCGCAGTCCTTTTCCAGTGCGTTTTCCTCGTCTTCCGGAACAGATTGATGATGGAGCGAGTATTAGAGTGTGGTACTTATAAATGCTCCGTCGATTTCTTGACTAGGGACAAAGGTAAACGTACACATCACTTAGTTAAGACCATAAGAGTCAGAGCAACTGTTGGAAAGCAAGTTTAAAAAGCAAGTCAATGTCAAGGGAGTGTTAGAAATACAACGAGCTATATTGGAGATCGAGTTGTCGTCTTGATGTTGATGTTGTAGATGCTTTAATGAGACTTAACTGTGTATGAGATGCCGAGCCGAGGTTCCTCCCGTCTGTCCGCGTCTCATGGCCGAAAGACAAGCTGCAATACAGTGCACTTTTGATTCGCAAATCCTACTCGCCCAACTATTGCTGCGTGACTGGTCCTGATTGTGCTGCTTCTTCGCCTTCCCACGTTGTTGAGGACGCGAAGGGTCTTCTGTACTATGTTGTAGCTTGTTTTCAAGCCGTCCAATCTCCGCCAGACCACAGAAACGCAGCACAAAAAGAAAGCTACTTCGAAAAAATGTCTGGCGCTCACACCATCGCAAGTGGTGCGCTTTCGCGGTTGGGTCATCTGCTGATTCCACATCAGGTTCCTCTGCTAAGACCCGCCTGAGCGCGAGGTAGAGCGCCGAATGGTTTGCGTAGCTATCTACAGTGGAGAGACTCAGGTCCACACCAGCCTCAACCACACATGCTAAACGAAGAATGTCGCCGGTCTTTAGGGCCTTTACAAGCTCCGCTAAGCGCTGCTTCCGTGAAGAGCCTAGAAAAAGTCGCTTGATTTCGTGCAAAGGCAGTCCGCAAAATTGTGTTGGCTTTCCAGTTTTCTTCATCTTGTCGGCGTTCTTACTCTTAGCCTTGCCTTGCTTGGGTGCTTTCGTTTCTTCCTCATCTGCATTACCATTTTTTGCCCTCCCCGTTTTTATCTCAAGCTTATCAGCGACAGTCAGACTCAGAGCGCCTGGCAAGGCCAGGAAACGTGCACAAGAGCGATCTGCTATAGTACCAATCACTGCCGGTGAAGACGGCATCAGGCTGAAGCTTTGGATTGTATCGGTCTGCTGTCCCTGAATGTGAATGTCACCGTCCCAGCTGCAATGATCATGGACGTACCAAGCCACCGCTTTACGCCAGTCGTCCCACTGCTTCTCCTCGTCTTCTTGTTCAGACGTTCCGTCGCTCGATGTTAATCTGCCGAGCTCGTAGAAGTTCTGTCCGTTCTCGTTCAGAGCTTTGCTGATAAAAGGCCTGCTGCCTCCTGCGGCGGTGTCGAAGCGTTGCGCCAATCCTAAAGCCTTTAGGTGTATTCTTTCAGTGTCACGACAACAGACGGGGCATCGCAAAACTGGATTACGCTTTTCGTGGGCGCTCGTACAATGTTCGTACCCTTTGCGAAAGGTGTCCCAAAAGGCATACTCCGAAAAAGGGCGTTTGCAGTCTTCGTAGGGACACCTCAGATCATCCATTGCACGAGCACGACTTCGCAGCCTCGAATTACTCGGCGCGTTCGGTGGCTCGCATTCGTCGAAGTGTTGTTCCCTTCTATCAGTATCATGATTCCTCGTGTCGTTTTTGCGAAGATCGTCCTCAACACACCGGTATTCATCATCCTGACACGCTAGCCAGAAGACATGTCTTAGTACCCAAACAAGGTAGGCAGGCTCAAATTTGATCAGGAGTGCCAGGGTGTCTTCCAGGTCTTCTTCGTCCTCTTTACAAATCGGAAAGATGAGTGGCAAAGCCCCCGCGTGCAGAAGTGCTGCTGCCGCCGCGTCGCGTTGGTGGATGATTGCCAAGCTCAAGAGCGTCATGCGCGAGCGGGAAGGAGCACTACCTTTTTCGAAGTTCGTTAGCATCAACAGGCTACGGAGACCCAGGTAGTGATTCCTTCGGAAAATGCGTTCTCGTTTTGGCTTTTTCGTTGCGATTTCCATACTCAACGCCAGTTTATACGATCTATCCCCAAGAAACTGTATCGCCGGCTGCTCTAGGTCCTCCTCGAGCAATCCTGCGGGACTTAGGAGGTTCAAGTTTTGTTCCACGAGGTTCCGGCTTCCTCCATACCCATGCTCATCCGATTTTTGCTCCGACCAATCGCTACTTCCGATCGCCCTCAGCACCTCTTCCCTTTCTTCGTCCGACATCTCCATGCAAGGGACTGGGAAAAGCGGTTTGTCAAGCTCAATTTTGCTCAGCTTGACTAAGCCAAAGGCACTATTATTACTCGTGTCCATATCGTACAGCAACTCAATCTTCTCGAGCATCTGAAGGTCTCGGCGAATTACCGCTGCCGGCTTGTTCCGCAAGTTATACACCACTTGCTGCCGTGCAGCACGACGGCGACTCCAGCCGCACTTCGCTTGTTTTTTCGGCGCGCTTCGGGAATCCGTGGTCTCGGCTGCAGTTGGATCAGGACAGGCTACGGGCATCGTGGAAGGCGTCGACTGCAGGACTTTCTGTGGAGAATCGTCCTTCTCACCGTTCCTGCCAGTCGTGGTTTCCATCTCAATCACAGTCATCCTGTTCGTGCTTACGATCGTCCGAAAACCCTGCTGCAAGTTTAGAAGTACAGCCTCACGACCCGGTTTGCAAGGCTAACAAAGCTAATCCGAATGCCCTCTTTTAGCCATGGAGGTCCTCTCATAGATATGTCGTTGCCCCAGCTGCATTTACTTTCAGTCAATCAAACTCCTACAACTGAAACGGAACGATATGGATGAGATTGCCCTCTACGTCGAATAGCCAAGTAATCGCACTACATGAACAACTTGTTATGTTCATATCTTCGCTCTTAGTGCTTTTTGTCGTTGGGCGCAGACGCAGTGTGCAACCACATGCATGCTATATTGTATGAGTATGTATCGGCAGAAAGTGCTCCAATGTTGTTGTCCTTGATATTATAAATATGATAATCGACTTTGAGGGGCAGCTTGTGAAGGGCTATTCATATTTTTCGAGAATGCACTCGAACTCGTCTGACTCTTTTTTTTATCTACAGGAAGGATTCGCGTCTTCGTTCGATAATCACTTCTCGTTCGGAGCGACCTCTCTACTTACATACTACAACGAACTCCTCAGTTTGTTACTTTTGCTGTTGGTGTTTCTTGCTGACAAGTGAACTATTAACGCACTTAAATCTATTAAATAGTATTTATGATCATCTCACAAAGTAGTTTGTCTCTGTTTATGGTTTTACCTGTTCAGCTTCAGATGAACCTTGAGGAGAACAAACTTGCACTGGGGACTTCCTTGGTGATTATCATTCAAAAGGAGCTTGCTCGGTGGGCTCACTTATGGACGAAGGAATATGTTGACAAATTAAGATCTACGAGTATACCTCATACCTTCTTCTTCCGGTCTAGATCAGGTAATGAAGTTCACGCACCAGTCAAGAGATCTTCTCGTTGCCATTCCCGATCAAAGTATTCGGAGCCGAAATAGCTCATACCAGCAACGTCCTGTACAAGAATAACGTCTTTTTCACTTCATCCCGCAAGCTCTTTTTACTAACTTCGTTTCAATCTAGGACAAGGCACTCTCATCGCGATTTCAAATTCAATTCCATCAGGTTCGAGGTTAATTTTATTACGCGGAATCATTCAAAGCAAATTCGAGGTTCTCTAAGAAAGTCAACGAACTATGTAGTTGTCAAGCTCAAGTGTTCCTCTAATTATACTATCGCGTTCTTGTTCTTCGCGATGTAATACATTAGATACAACGGCCCGTCAGGAAGGGTCTCGGAGTCATCAATCATCTCATTTTCCTTTTTTCTACAATTCACAAACATGGGAGAGTGAAAGATTTGAACCAAAGAAATCAAGGTACACTATCCGTCTGAAAGTTAAAAATATGGGTCAAGGTCAAGTACAAGTGCTGTGTCCCTCACCTCCCCTAACATTCTTTCAACCTTCGCCTCTTCCCCAGGAGTCGTTTCGTTTTTTCTTATGAGAGCCCGCAGACAGCCTTCTGTATCTAGCACGACCCTGCGCATCTTCAAAGCCTTCTCTTCCATAATCTCTGCCCTTTCATTGGCTCGACTTTCGCGAACGACGGCGACCGCGCACTTTGAATGTGCCGCCCTTAGCTGCGTGCCTGTACAGAGTTCGAGTGCTGCGATGTACAAGTCGTGAGACACGATTTTTCCCAGGTGCGGTTTCACCAAGCGCTGCAATATCTGCGGGTCAGTTTTCAGCGCAAAGCCGGGCAAGAAACCTGCACAGACAGTTTTCCGATCCGCCTCTGACAGTTCAGGCGTAGACACCATCCAAGACAACATCTCCTCCATTTCTTTCAAGCTATCTTCTTGCCGCATACTGAATAGTACTGATATCAACGTTGGCGCTAATTGCAGAAGAGTTCGTTTGGTCGCAAAAAGCACGAATTATTGAAAGAAGGCTGGCGATCGACTCGACTTTGCTTCTGTCAGGTAGAGCTCTTGGATCTCAAGCAAGAAAGCCTTTGGAAGCTGGTAATAGTCTGCTGCTTCCCATATTTCGGATAGAAGATTCAAAAAAGGTCTGACAGCACACATTTGTTGACGCTCTTCGTCGTGTTGCTCTTGACCGGCAGAGGCCGGAGACGAGTGGCTATCCAACATCAACACCTCCTCATCTGGTAATGGCTCCTCCACCAATCTCTTAATCTTGGGCTTGATTCGAACCCCAATGATATCGGCTCGCCCAGTGTACAGAAATTTGCACAGAAACTGCATGCATTCGCGCGAAAACAAACACTCCACTTCATTGCATTCGTTTTCCTTGAAGCAGCTTGTTCCACTCTCGCCCCCGCCTGCCATGTTGGCAGTTTCATTTGCAGCAGCTTCTAGCTTCGAGCCGTAGAAAAGCTTGCGAAAATATGCGGATCCAGCTGCCAGAAGATTCTTGTGAGCGTATATAGTTCCGCAGTCATCTTCATCAATAGCAAGAACTGCATCTACTTCTGGCTGTGTTTCATTTGAGGTTGATGACACTGTAGGGACCTGAGGAGCATCTACTTCGCTCTGTGACCTTTTGCCAGTAGGCGTGGAACACGCTGGCCCTGCTGTATTTATATCGCTATTGCCTCGACAAAACAACCTCACGTCGGAAGTTGTCTGATCGAAAAGCAGCGCGGCGCCCCCCCAGGCACCTGGATCGGCCTTGTCTCCAATATTAACACGCACGAACATCTTAATCGTGGTGCTCCGACGCTATGGCTAAGACGAGTACGTGTCGACGATCATGAAGTACTAGATCGCAAAGCTGAAGATGGTACAAGTTACACAAAGAACAACCACGACATGCACATGAAGTCGAATGTCGCTTAAAATAGTGCTGAACATGAAGTTGAAGAACAAGGAAGACGACCTGTTACTCTTACTCACACACGATAGCTGAAAAAAGAATAAGAACAAGCCTTCTCTCCTATGCCCCACGAAATGACTTCTACTCGATATTTGTAAGTTCTTGTGATGGTGATCATTAGAGCATGAGGCTTTCATGAGCCTCATAGATCCTAGTGTTAGAGAGCCTTCCTGCTTCCTGCACAAACACGAAGCCAAAGAAAAAACCGGATTCAGATCTAGGACGAGGACACGGGATTTTGTGGATCTTGATGATCGTTGTGAACCTTAACCTTTTTCGAATACATACGCATACCACATCAGGGAACTGATCTCAACGCCAATGCAGCCAGGAAGCATTCTATGTAGATCATGTGAGGAGAAGGAGTTGGAGTACTTCTATTCTCATAAATATGGTCATTTCTCCCATCTGCTACAAAAGATAGTGCTGATCATGGATACCAGGTCGGCCACGGCACAGCAGGTGGGATATGAAAGACTGTCGTTCAGAACCTGCGAGACTCTTTCAAGCACGTCCGATGCGGCTAAGGGAACACTCATCGCTTCTTCTTCTAATGCCCTCGCTGATTTAGAAAAGCGTCTCAGCCGTAGACCATCAAGGGTTAGTTCTTGTTTTGGCGGATGTGGATTTGAAAATACCAATGAATACCAGTTTAGGCGTAAGCCACAAGGAACATTGCATCCAGAATGAGAAATTTTGTGCTGGACAGTATACTAGCAATGTTCGTGTTGCTGTAGAAAATGCATCCCTCTGTAAAAATAGGCTAAACTTCCAAGCGTCTTCTTTTGAGATCCTCCTCGAGTGCCAAATAGCTAGTTTCTAATCGTTCTTGCCTTGGTCGAGGGAGGAAGGCAAATGAGGGAAGCTGTGCGTCTGGTGAGGGTCGACCTACTGTATTTTTAGAAGTAGCTGGTCTCGAAGATGGCTTTGCTCGCTTCTTTTCCTCCTCGCCTCCCTCTGCATCTACTTCCTCAGTTCCTTCTTCTTCTTCTTCTTCGCTATCATCCTCCTCGTCCTCTTCCCTCTGCTCTTCCTCGCGTTCTGCATCCTGGAAAAACCCCATCCCCAGCAATGGATCGTCGAACTTTTTCTTCTTGTGCTTCAGTTCTCGTTCTAGCAAGTCGTCAGTTGTGAGTTCTAAGAACTCGTTCACGTCCACGGAAGGCGAGAGCTTCTTGAACATGTGTGGATTTTTGAAAAAAGGCACTACGCGTGACACCAACGGGTGGTGGTGTCGTGAAATTGCCTCGAGCTCCCACAACGACGTTCGCGTCAATATCTTGCGCGCTTCAGGCAGCGTCGCACTGATGTCGAATGGGTCGGCTGTCAAGAACGCAACTGATGAGGTTGACTCTGTACTTGATGGTGAAGTTTTCGTGCTCGACGTGGCACCTTCAACCAGAGTTGTAGATGAGTCATTTTGTTCACCAGAAGTCGGAGGAGTGGTTGTAGTCGAAGTGGATGTGGTGGAGGTAGATGATTGATCTTTAGAAGATGATGCCGTAGAAGGTGTAGCCCCCGCCGTCGATGAACCACCTCCACCAGCGTTCATTACGGATCGGTGCAATAGCTTTTTACAGCACGCTTCGTTTTTCCGCACTATGTTGTAGGCCAAACCCAAGCACCAACAGATTGAGGGCTGGTCAATCAAAGGCGCGTGAACGCATATGCGTAGGAGCTTCTTTGCGAAGCAGGCGGCACTTTGTGCAGGCAGTGTCGTGCCTTGAATCAAGGACGCGGCCAAAATACGCTGAAAACGTACGCGGAATTCAGCGCTGAAAACCTCGGGCCTCAAGAGCAGGTACAAACGATCGTAGTAGTCGTCCTGAAACTCGAGCTTCGTCTGCGTGGTCATGTACAGCAAGCCAGATAGAGCGCAAATCTGAATCTCGAGAGAGCCACGGTCAAACTCCTGCAGAAAGAAGTCTCCCAAAAGCATCGGCGCATCCAGATACGGAAATATATGCGTCACATGGAGAAGCACGCTCTTCTTCAATCTGTCCACGCGGGCCTGGATGACTAGCGCCAGTTGTTTCTCCGTAATGACCCTGCCTGATGATGTCGTAGCTTCTCCATTGTCGTTGTTGCTAGAAGTTGATGCTAACATCGTCGCGCTAGCGCTGGCGGTAGCATTTGCGGCATTAGTAGGGGACTGCGTGGTTGACGATGCTCCAGAGGATGAAGACATCGTTCCTCCTGGTGTCGCCTTCGAGGAGTTATGGTCTTTGTTTTTGCTCGAATAAAGTACGGCTGTATTCTTTGGTGGCCTCTGCAATGCGGAACACTTTTCAGGCTGGAAGACTTTCAGGAAGTCAAACCACGTTTTCGTGAACAGGCGCTTGATTTTGAAGTTTTTCTTCGGTAAATCAGGAAAGAAGAGCGGCAAGTCCTCCTCACCCTCCACTGCAGTAGTTTCCAAGAGACCCTCACCCATCAAGTACGCGCCGCATTTTCGCAGCAACTCGAAGTAGCAACTCACATTGAAGTCGCGCTGTGGTGGACGAGTCAGGAAATTTCAATGAGTCGCGGATAAGATGAAAATGTATGAAATGCCCAATGCAATTTTTGGTCTTCTTTGTTTACAATGTTTGTCATGGGTGAGCTACTCGCTTGTTCTAAGAAAAAACGTCGAGGAAAGGATCAATAACAAATTGAAAAGGTTCTAAAACAAGAACAACGGGAATGTAAATCATTCTTACCTGATTTCGAAAGACCGTCCCCAGCAGAGCGAGAAAGTAGTTGAGGAGGTCAAGATGCGACAGGACAAACTGTTCTAACATCGCATCCCAGACGGATTCCCCTGAGTTTTCCACCAGTGCCCTCATAACTGCTTCGTATTCGTCGACTGGGAATAGCAGCGCCGGCACGTTGCTGTTAGACCCGTGATTGCCATTAGCTTCGCGTCGAGCCTCCTGCTGTAGTATTGGCTCGTTTGCTAGGTAATCCTCGAAAAGAAAAGCAATCAATTTATCCGGCGACTGCTCGGAGAGAGACCCTGCGGCAGCCTTTGCAACCTCAATGCGCTCTCTGCGGTTGCCGCGTGCAGCCGCCAGCCGCTTGCGGGCGTCCTTTACGCTCCGGACAGTAATCGCTGTTGATGGCGTCATTTGTTTCTGTAATTAGTCGTCGACATGCAAATAAAGGAAACAAAAACATGTGATACTGTAGTAAAATCGCTACGTCTTTAAGTGCATTTCACAGCTCTAGCAATAAAACTCATATCAATATCATGACCTGCATCGCTAATGTAACAAAATGGTAACGCCATTAAGATTAATCAATACGAAGATCCTCTAGATCTATTTTGTGGACGTTCACTGAAATAGAAACTCATCAATTTTTTAACTTTTCTGCACTTGCTTGTGCTTCTGGCTGTTGAACATATGATCATGTGATCTCCATTGAACAACAATCTCTAAGTGATCCATCTTTTACGTAGCGAAGTTGAAAAATCAAACGGATCATCTTAGTCGCACCAGATCTTGCATTGGCGCATCTGGTGCAGATCCAGATTCTCCGATTACAAACCCTATTTTTAAGAAATTATGGATCGATGTAGATCTCGAATAAAAACAACGAGACCGCAGGTCGCAACCCACTCACTCAGACGAGGGGTAATTTGGAACTCCTCATGATGATCCAAGCTCTACAAAGATCCCTGATTCTCTAATGAACAAATTGAACTGTCAATATCGTGTTTCAAATTTCTAGCTTTTAGAAACCAGCGCCAGCGGTCCACAGTGAATAGTGCTCATCCATTACTAGTGTCTCTGACGAAAATGCTTCTGTATTCCGCCTTATGAGCAGTCGCAAGGAGGGAGAGTTTTTGACTTCACGCTGTAGTGCGCTCCGTGTCTCTTCACTCTTGGCAGCCTTCAGATCGCGCATAAGGCGTTCGATTTCTCCGTCGTGATTGCGCAGCACTTCATCCGCCTTCTCCTTGTGGCTTTCCGTAAAATGGTCATTAATGGCCACTATGACATCGTCTGGCCGCAACCCTTTACTCGCTGCCCAAGAACTATCACTACCACCCGCTTTGTTAGCAGCATCTGCACCACCAGCCACTTGACGGATTTTGCTTTTGCTGACGGTCATGCCCGATCGTTTCCCCTGCAATTTGAGTTGGACGTACCGCGGTACATATTTCTGCCGAAGAAAAAGAAACGCAAACGCACGCTTCGATTTAAGGTGTTCCCGAACGCGAGACAGCAGAGCAAAATTGAATGCTGCATTTTTGTCGTCCACGCCTGGCACCTTCTCACCCCCCTTCATCTTCTTAATTTCAACGTCCGCCGCATTACTGAATCTATTGCCTGGCTCCATTGTGAAATCCACTGCTTTTAGCAAAACATCACCACGCGCAACGCCACTTTTTCCGGCTCTTTCGTGACTAGCCACAACTTCTGTGACGCGAACCACAGGATAGTGTTGCCAATCAAATTTGCATCCGAATGCCTGCAGCAACTCATCCTCCGCACGCGCACCAGCATCGGCCGATAAAGTCGAACTTGTTGGATCGAGCACATCCTTTGCAACCGTACTCTGAGACCAGCCTACGAGCCCATAATCCTTGATCTTCTTCGCACGCGCTAAAAGTGGGAACAGGAAGGTGGTTCCCGTAGACGAGGAAGTCCTGGCCTTCTTCGTTGCGTCTGCAGCTGGAGCTTTGCTTGAAGACTCATTCGGCGTGGTACTACCTTTCGTCTTTGTTCCAGAGGACGAAGACTTTTTCTTCCTCGCGTCTTGGTCTTCCTTTTCCTTTTTTATTTTTGCGGCCTTTATTGAGGCCTCTGGTTCTTTTGCCTTCTTCAAAGATTTTAATGCTTCCAGGGCATCCCGCTCATCCAGATTCTGGTAGTGCGCTTCAAGTGCCTCGATCATTTGCAAACGGTATGGACGCTCATCTGGCTTCGATTTCGACGTTGCCTGTTTTCCACGACTCGTCTTCCGTTTGCGCTCTTCCCAGAAAGCTCTGTCTTCTCGCGATCGTCGTTCAGCTGAGGAGGGTGGAAGTGCCTTCTCGTTGTGGTGCGACCATATAGATGATGGATCGGTGAAACTCTCTGCGAGAGATGCAGCGTCATCATCTTCAGACGTGCTGCTCCTGTTCGAGGAACTGGAAGAACTGTTCGACGAGCCCCTGCACCTGGAGCCCCGCTGTGCGTTCTTATCACGACGCCGCTTTCTACGGCCTGCGTGGTCATTTTTTCTTCCCCCTTTCCTTCTACTTCTTCTATCCTTTTCAATTTGTTCACCATCGCTTCTACTGCTTCCGCTCTCACTCGTACCTCTGCTACTTCTGCTCCCGCAACCGCTCTGAGACGATGTCGATTCAGCCTTCTTGCGCGGACGCAGCAATCGATGCGGTGGCTTTCTTGCAGTCTTCGTGATGCCTCTAGCTCCAGGAGACTCAGAAGAGGACGAGGATTGAGAATCGCTTTCAGCGCGCCTCGCTGCCTGATCGGCAAGCACTTCTTTGAATATCTCAAGTTCGCGCTCAAACAAGTCGATGTTCTTCAGGTGAGAGTCGATTTCCGCGATCTTGTCTGGAATTCGATACTTCGCCTCATAAAAACGCCGAAAAGTCCGCAGGTCTCCGCGTACTACCAGCAAATCCTCTTGATTCTTCAGCGGTTGTTCTTGCTGCAAGGTACTAGTAGACGATGCTAGATTTTTACGATGATCTCCAGTTTTGAAAACATCTGCTACCTCAGCGGCAAAAGGAGTCTGACGAGGGGCAGCCGCGGAGGTTGTGCGAAACTCGTGCAACAAGGGGTGCTTTTCGTTTTCTCGCGTCGTCCTCGTGGTGCTCGATTTCTTCGTGTCATGAAGTCCTGCTTCCCCAATGAAGTCATCGATATCGTACAGTCGCTTGCGCAGTAAATCACTCGTCTTCACATCGCCACTCTGCTGCTGTGATCTCGTTCCAGATCTCGCATCTGCACTTGTTTCGGCATCGGCACTGGTAACATTTTGGTCTCTTGCATCTGGCAGAAAATCTTTCCTCAGGGCGGCCAGCTGTCGTCTACCTTCCCGTCTTGCCTCCGGATCTTCGACATTTAGCTTATGGAGAGCCCGCTCTCGCCCCTTCGGATCACCGCCGATTACGCCCAGTCGGTACTCCACTTCCTGGCACATCGCGTCCAGCCTTGAACGAAAATTTGCGACGCTCCTTTCAAGTTCCGTGTCGACGGCTCGCGTCTCCGCTCTTAGTTCTGCGCCGCTTTTCTTGTTGGGCGATGGCGCGTCGTCCTGGCGAAAGCGTGGCTGTCCTCGATGATGATCTTCAGCTGCAGAAGGGACTTGATATTTTTGTTGCATCTTTCTGGTTAGGCTAACCCTTAGTCCCTTACCTACTTCGTAGAGATGGCGGTGCGGCTACACGACGTGCACAGACCATTACAACCAACATCGCCACGGCAGCTTGGTCGTGTTCATCAGTATTAAGAATGAGAACAACATCTTTAGATTTTGTGGCCTTTACGGATATCACCCTTTTGTTCGTTACATTACGCCTCGTAGAACATTTTATCAGTGACAAAACTATGTTCACGTTTTTGTCGTTCTGTATGTTGCATTCTAAACCTAATTTTTGTTCTAATATGCTCAACTCATATCGTATTATATGTGGTTTGCGCATGTGCACAACCACTAAAGAACTGCGAAAAATCATCAAAGAGAGCCTGAAAAGGAAGTGGCGGGAGACCTTTTTTCAAAGGCAGCAGGAAGAGAAAGTGGTGGAAGACCTTTTTTCAAAGAGAGCAAGAAGAGGAAGTGGTGGAAGACCTTTTTTCATGCTAGACTCTTGTTCAATTAGCGATGGTTGGGAGAAGAGTCGTAAATCAGCGACCGATGCACGTGCACCGATGCTAACCGAGAAAATGATCATATTCTTCCGGGCGGAAAAACCTTCATTCGCTGTTTTACCGATCGGCATCTTCTTCTAAAGCAAATAACGGAGTCGACCTTCCACGTTGTTCATCGTTAACTACGCTGTGTCTGAAGTACAACTCCTCCGACTCCAGCTGGGCAGTACGGATATAAACACGGCCGACACAGATGTTGAGCAGGATACAAATTCCACACACTTTGAAAGCTTCGAGGAACACGCGTAGAAGTGGCAGTCCGTAGTTTCGCAAAAGGCATGGGCGTTTAATTGTGGACGTGGTGGAAAAGCCCTCTTATCCACCGACCACGCTTGCGTAAGTACTTCTATTGGAGGAAAAATGGATATGGGGATTCGTGTTGCTGATCTTGACATAGCAAGCTTCACAAAATCGTGAGGTTCCAACTTTCTTCTTCTGCTTCCTAGTGGATCACCTCGTTGCGATTCTTTTCCGAATGCTTTCCATGCATAGACGGAACGTCTGAGGTGATGGCGTCTTCATTGCTATGCCGAGAAGAAGAGAAGTAAAGTCGGGATTCGCCTTGAAGATCATATCAATCAGTCTTCTTCCATACACACGCTGATAATCACTCTTTTCGCCTCGGGCACCGAATAAAACCTGAAGTTTGATGACAAAGCAGAGTCATGGAGGAAAAGCTGAAGATATGCTTGATATTTTGATTTTGTCGTATATGGACGTGATGAATGTCGAGGGAGTAAGATCTTCATGTTTCAATATCAATGTGTTATAAGGTTAGAATACCGAAGTATCGTAGGTAACGTCTGGTGGACAGTCTGGATCTCGGATACACGGATCACCGTCGACACTGGCTGTTATCCAGCTCCCTATTTTGCCGCACTGCGTAATCACTATCAGAAGCTTCTTCTCTAGCACCGTCACTGCAAATTCCGTCATCCTACCTTCGATTTCTTCTTCCCATGCTGTCGTCTGAGGAAAATAGTCAGAATCTGGTCTCGAAGCCTTCCCAAGGAAGTACTGCTCCATACAAGCAGGGTCCATTAACGACGTCATTCTCTTGTTTTGTTCTGCTGCTAACTTTCTATGTCCTCGTTTCGTTTTCGTACAACGTCGGTGAATGACAATGAAGAAGAAAAGACTCTGTTGGCCTAGACTTTCGTAAGGTTACTTGGTACTCGTCATGTAAACTCACTATGGCATTGATCGACTGAGTTTGAGGAGAAGTGTCAGCGAAGAAATTCAAATTGATCAAATTGAGATTTGCCTTCCGTCTAACGATTGTTGTAAAGATTGTCTTTGTTGGTCGGTTCATGAATAACAATATCGAGATTGCACTCAATTACAAATATCTGGGTGGTGGACGTGTGTTCTGTAACTGTTGTTGTGGACTGATAGGTAAATGCTGCGCTCGAACTTACTGAGAACCGATCAGATATGGACAAGAAAAAACTCATCGCAATAACAGCGCTACTGACCTTGTGTCAGCACGAGGCTGTGGGTATGCTTGCGAAACTTCTATGATGCTCATGCCTCCTTTGGAAATATAATTCGGGATAGAATGAACGAAGGGCATCAAAGAAGATTTCAAAAAATATGCAATGAATGTGAATGAATGAGCGAAGGAACAAGATAAAATTTTCGAAGTATTCATACTTCTACTTGCTCTCATTCAACGTCGAACACAAAATAATAAGTCGATAGGAGGACTTGATCACGATCGAGATCTTGATCTAGTTCTAAGTCATCCAACCTTAGACTTAGTATAGTTCACGCTTCATTCAGCTGTGCACCAGTTAGTAAAGCCTGAGCATGAAACTTCATCTGGTATAAATTGGCACTCCGCCATGATCCAACATTTTCATTTACAAATTCGACCAACACCAAACAGCTGCACCTTCTTCAGCTTTCGCTACTCATTTGCATTATTTGATTAAATATTCCCACCCCGTCGAGGCTGCCTACAATTAACATTAAGAGCCATTTGGAAACATCGATCCGTGCATCGCAGGCTGGCAGATGACAAATGAGTCGCAACTACAAATGTTTTCGTGAATCTGGATCCGCCAGCCTTACTCATGCTATTTCCAAGCGCAAGCTCACCAACATTTTATAAAATAAGAAACGGAATCGCTATCGGAAACGGAATGGGATCATAATATCTATATCAATCCTTGTTTTATGATGCAAGCAACCCGCTTACAACTGCTACTTCTAGAAGAAGCACTGAGTGATACTTTTGTAATGTTGTATTCCGTACTCGTAAGAACTACAAAACCAGCTAAAAAAGAGATGGTTCTTCATATTTTCTCCATTCTCTTTACAATCGCAATCTTGATTTTTAAAACAAATTCAAACTCTTTCCAGTTTTCGGCGAATATTTTAGACTACGGCTAGCCCCTTGAGCAATCGTTTCCGACGATCTCCTATGCGGTGCAAAAACGGGAAATCCTTCGTCTCTGTTTTAAGCCGACGACTAGCAATTCGACCTTGAGTCGCATGCCATGGCCCCAGACCACTGCGAAGCGAGCGTCCCTGCTCGGGCTTCAAGCCGATGGACCACAACGTGTCCTCTAGCAGGTCATGGAAGAGCTCACCAGTGCAGAGATTTGGATAAAGACTCTCCCATACTCTGAACTGAGTAACATATGCGTGTGGCTTTTCTGCGATTTGGTCGACCACTAGCCGAATAGGTGCTTCCGCAGGAAAGCTCGATCCTTTACGCTTCTCGGGCCGCTCGCCCGGAAGCTGAAACACTTGTCGGACAATCGGCGATGTGATCTTTTCGTTGTTCTGAACATACTCTCGAGCAGCGCCAGTAGATGCTGCAGTTGCTGTGGACGCTGTCGAGGTCGAGGACTCGTGATCTTGATACGATTGCTGCTCGGCGACGCTGCTACTAGTGCACTTAGTTGTTGTACCCTCGTCTTCGTTGACAGCAATCTGTCCAATCGACGAGCGCAGGTTGATAAAGATTGCCTTTTCTAAACTGTCTGCCGCTTCCCATTCACGGTTGCGAATCTTGCGGCAGATGGTAAGGAAGCAGTCCTCCATAGAAGCGGTCGGCAGAAAGCGACACCGAACAGTGCGGCTGCTTACGAGATTCGCGACCAAATCGGTTGCGTCTGCTTCGTCACGCATCGGCGCGACAACGGTGAGCCGAAAGTCTCCCTCATGACTACCGCCAAACACCGGCGACAAAACAATATTATGTCGTGCGGTGCCTGTGGCTGTGGATGCACTCGGGACCTTGCCGGAATTTTGATGGTGTGGACTCTGAGCCTGACCATAAGGATTGGCAGCGGTGGATCCTCGCCCAGTGAGAGAAAAGTAATTTTCGGACAAGAGCAGTAAACGATAACTAGTAATTGCCATGAGACCAAGGGTCACCAAATCCAACGTCAGGCTGTGCTTTCGCGCTAGAAGTGGCAGAAAGTCTTCGGGAGCAAAATGGAAAAGGTACTCGTAATCTTCGGGTCGCTTGGGACTTTCAAAGAGGGAGCCAAGGTCGTGTCCGCGCTGCTTCGACCGGTTTACCAGCGGCTCGAACAACCGCCGCTCTGCCTCAGCAATAGCATTCACGCGTAGAACAGGCAACTCCGCTTCTATTTTTCTAGCTTCGCGCGCGTCACATGGAACGACAAGCGCTCCGCGATGATCTCGAGTGAACTTCTGCTCCTCACGCTGGGTCCCTTCATCCACAACAGCCACAGTTTGCTCCCCATCTCCCTTCGTTACATTTTTCGCATCGCTGCTCGCACTGATTGACGCTGGCGGACGAGGTACGTCAGTCCATATCCAAATCAACCAGATCGCAATGGATATAAAATTTCCCGCTGCCACCTCGATCAGACTCTTGATGGAAAGAAGAAGCCTCACAAACTTTCGAAGTGCCAGGAAAATCTTCTGAAACTGTCGGCGAGCGTCCTCCATGGCATCCAATACCAGTATGTTATCTTCTTGTTGTTGTGCTAGTAGTCCTTCTACGTCTTTTTCTGTCTCCAAGTTGGTCGGCGTTCTTCTGTATTCTCTTTTGTATGAATCTGAAGAGTCACAGTGCGGCTTTGTCTGTGACTGTGTTTCATCAATATCTCCTGTTACTTCTGGCGGTGCAGATTCTTGGCATAGAGCCTCTTCGTAGAAGTAAATAAAGTCACGCAGCAATGGATTTGCAGAACTACCATCCACGACCCCGTGTGTGAAAACTAAACGGATCCTGTTCTTCATTCCTCTTTCGATATGGTCCCACGGACACTCTTTTCGTTGAATCCACCAAAACTTTTCTGCTACCTCTTTTCTTTTCCTGTTCGCCTCTTCCTCCTCTGCTGCATCGTCTAGGAGGAGGGCCCTCACTTGCGGCAAAACCTCATTGAAGCGGCGCTTACGCGCACGCTGACCGTGACACTCCTCAACGACGGCACAACCGTCCTCGGTTGGTACAGCCTGACCGCAAAACCGATAGTCGATCACTTGCACGTAGTCCGCAAGTCTGCGCCTGCACAGTGCAAGATGCTCTCTATCAATTGAAGTTGTCTGCAGCTCCCCGCCCCTACTACCTTCCGGAGGTTTCTTGCCAAGCTTGTGACCGCGATGATTATCATCCGTACTTGTAAAAGCATTCCGCCGACGAGCACCTGCATGGCCAGCACTGCTCCGTGCTACTTCTGCGCTTGCCTTCTGCGACATGACTCTTGGCGACGCTTTGCATCGCGGCCATCCCGCAAAAAAGAGGTTGCGTAAGAAAGCCCATGGCAACATACCATGAAGGCTATGCGGTCCAGTGCTATACGTCGTTTTTAGGAAGTCCTCTGGTTCGTAGAAACTTAAGCGGAGACCTGTGGATCATGTACGAGGAAGTTGTAAGTTGTAGTTGGTGTAGTTGCTGAACTGACAACAGAAGATTAAGTTTCAATCACTGAGAGTAAGTTTTTATTTCTAATATATGAAGAGTTTATGAAGAATAATGAGTCCCATAGATACTGACTTCAAGAGTTATGTATGATTATGTCGTGAGAGCGTTTCCGATTGTTCATTGTGCCTTCTAGTAGACACAGGTAATGATACGACTTGTAGGTTTGTACCCACGTGGCGATCCACGAGGAGCAGCAACGCATCAAACACAGCGGACACGTTCCAGGGACGTTCGTGCACAAGGGTGAAAGGAACCTCCAAACGATGAAAACCGGCGCTCTCTGATGTTCGATAAAGAGAGAAGTACTCCTGTAGACCTCTGTCAGTCACTGTCCCTGTGCTTTCGTTCTTCCATAGCGCAGAGATGCTGCCGGCATTTTTTGAGACGTCCCCGTCAGCCCTGTCCTTCGTAGCAGCCAAGGCCATGCTCGCATCTGTTGCAGTTTGAGTGTCATTTGGCCGCTTCTCTTCCGAGTTTCCGAAGCGCAGTTTGTTCATGTCACTAGATGGGTTCTCAGATGGCCCAACACGAGCGCAGTGTGGCATTGTGGAAGCCTCCTGTGATAACGTTTTCGATGTCGCTTCAAGTGCACCAGCATCAGCCACATCTTTCTCCCTCCGTCCCGCATCTAGCTCTTGAAGATCGTGGAAGATAATTGATTGGTCCTCGATTTTTTCCAATACGATACTTTGCTGTAGTTTCTGCGGGTCGCTAACGCTCACTTCGTGGTAGACATCTTCGAGGATGTCGCATGTGAGAAGCGTGCTCATCTGGATCCGAAATCCTACCGCATTCAGCCTACTCGCGAGAGCCATCATTCGGAGGCTATCAAAATGCACCGGGAGCGGCGTGCCGGGACCGAACCCCGTAGCACCGCGACCAGCAGTCCGTTGCGCAATGATGTTCACCAGCTGATTCTGTGGTGAGAGCAGATGTAACTCATCTGATCCTTGGGCAGAAGTACTCGCTGATGTAGGTCCACACCCTGCGACAGTGTTGTCCCTGTCGTCCTGCCGACTTGCCTGCTCGAGGGCCTCCAGCTTCGCGCTAGCCGCATTTAGCCACTGGTTCTGCATGACATCAGATGCCTCAGCAAACCGCTCTGTGTATTCGGGAATCTTTTGAAATTTTACGAAGCCTGGCGGCCATCGACCACGTCGGGATCGAGGCCATATAACTCGCGATATGCGCTGCACGAATCTGAGTAGACACCTTGTGACGTTCTTGCCAAAGCTACCGATATTCAAGGCTAGAGTACTAGTAGATGAGGCCTGCACATCTACCTTCTTGAAGACGTAGGCGGTGTCGAACAAACGCGCTAAAACACGCCTCAGTTTCCCATGAAATGTTTGAAAGCTGCTAGTCGAGAGGCTTTTGACTGTTCGCCGCAATGCAGCACGACCGCGCGGCTCGATCACGTAGTAGCCCAAAGCAAATGTGTCCTCTAGCAGAACTCCTCCAAAACCCATAAAAAAGGAAAGAGCTAATCCACAAGGCCGCTCGATGAGCCTCGGCAGCCCGGTGGAATTCCCGACGTCCGTGGATCCTTTATTGTGATGCCTACATCGTTGATACTCGATAGAAAAGAGTATCGTTGGAAGGAGCGCGTCGTGAGTCCATGCGATGAACCATAAACAGAACAACGCGTACAGCGAGAGGCGTGGAAGCAGCACGAGGGGAGCAATGCAGTACTTTAAGAACCAATGCGCCGTCGCAACCAGCGAGTTGGTGCCCCGCCAGTTCGCACTTCGGTATAGGTCTGAACGCAGGCTCAGGTCATCTTGCAGCCATTCGAATATCAAGAGACGCGCAAGCGGTCCCGAAAACGAGTATTTGTGTGCAAGTGCGAAAGCATACCAGACGTAGGGCCACGCCAGGACTCGCCACCCAGCGCACGCGTAGACGCAGAGGATGCAGCAAGGGCCTACAAAGAGCAACTCGCGGAGCTTTTCGCCGTAAATGAACTCGTTCACATAGGTATCGCACGTCGGAGCACGATCTTCACAAACCGCATCCGAAAGCGCGGGCCGCGTGTCGACAGGGGGAAGTCTTTGAGGTGCAGCTTTTCTGTGCCGTACAGGATGACGACGGGACGACGCAAGTGCACTTGTTTGCGCCAGTGTTTTCGTCGTGTCTTGGATTAGACCCGCTTTCTCCCGAAAAGCGTACTTCCTACCTCCTGTAACACTGTTACCAAATGATTCCTCTCCCGTCTCTAATCGCTTGAAAAGCGATTTTTTATCGATTTTGCCTGTCGCCAGACGCGGCCAGTCCCAAGTAACGACAAATCGCACTGGAACTAGGGCTTTTGGTAGACGTTTCTGACATTTAAGTCTCCAACGTTTTTCCCACGCAGCTGATGTTGTCTCGTCAACATCTTCAGGAGCGTCACTCACCGGTTCGACAAAGGCAACAACTTGGTCCTTCAAAACGCAACAGACTGCCTGTCGTGCCGTATCATGATCCACTGCTTCGCCGTCTGCGCGTATAGCTTCTTCGATCTCTCGCAAGTCCACGCGCATCCCATGGATCTTGACTTGGGTGTCTTTTCGACCACCCGGCAAGAGGCAATGAGAAGTGAGACCCGCAACATTTGCATGGTTATTTAGATCGACAGTGCCGCTCTGGTCCTCGTGCTCGTCGTCTCTATATTGCTGCGTGAGTTCTTCCATTCCATGCAAGGATAATGCTTCATAAAGTGGCTTCCTTCTTTGTAGGCAGTGCCTCCGAGCCAGGTCCCCTGTCCGAAAACACCTTCCCGGGCCTGTCGCACTGGGAAAAAAGGGCATACTTGTGTTAATGTGAGTGGCAGTGTTCTTTTGTAACTCAGTTCGCAATCTTGCGACGAGTGCGGTCTCTTCATTCGGAAGAGTAAGTCGCAGAAGCCGCGCAAACGAGTCTAGCAGGCGGCGTTCGCTTCGGTTTTGTGGCCTATATCCGGCAAGAAACGCGCATATACGTCGCAACAGCCCGATCTCTGGGCTTCGCTGCTCTGTCCTTGCGAGCAATCGGACCACTTCATGAACGCTTCGCCTTCGAGAGCGTCTTTTTCTAGCTGTCGCGCATGATTTCGCTACATCCCGTTGCCAGAGTTCTTGAAAAATCATCCATTTCGCTTGGGAATTCCAATCATTGACGCTGATGGGCCATTCAGCTTGAAGAGCACGCATTCTTTTATTGAGAAAAGATGTCACAGCCGCGCTTTCGGTCACGTTTGGCAGATAGAATCCCAAACCCGGACCTTCGCTGAGCAATTCCCCAGGAGCCAAGTGTGAAAATGCCCCTGGTTTGCAAACCTCATCACACGGGGCGTCGCAGCTGCTTTCTCCTCTATCTTCATCGTGCGATCTGAATGTCGAGCGCGGATTGTCAATGAGGCACCTGCGGTAGGGTGTTGGCGTTCCTAGCGGAACAAGACCGATTTTGTCCCGACAGTCCTGTGCATTTGCGTGGCACACTTGGAAGAGCGTAGTGGTATCAGCAACTTCAGTTTGGCCGTAATGGTTAAGAACCCAAGGAATCTTATCGGCTAGTGGCAAACAGCTAAGCGGAAAAGGCTCTCCGGTGAGTATCAAACGGCGCAACGAGCGAACCTCGGCAAGGTCAATCCCCAGAGCATTTAGAACACTAGGCACAAATTGGGCACAGGTGATGGGTCTGCGCACGTTCTTCGACAATGCAACACTGCTCCTTGTATTTCCGCCGGCTGCGCCGTTAGCTGCCATCATCGTGCGACCCTTCTCTTCTACTACTGCGCCGTGTCCATTTATGCTACCTCCATGACGAAGTCGATCCTCTTTGGTGCCATCGTCCGACCTTACTCTGTCTAGCTCTGCTGCTTCTTCACCGGTTAAAAGCCCTGTTCCGACGTCAGCAAACGTAGCTACGCGCAAGCTTGCCCCGACGATAAGGGGATTGAGGATTTCAGGTATCGATGCTACCCACTGCCAGTTGATACACGCCAGGACATTGTCAGACGGCTGCAAAGGAAAGTCATTCTGCAGATAGAGCAGGTGGGACATGATGCTGTGGTTCGTTACCAGCACAGGCTTGGGCCGCCCTGTGGATCCTGACGTGTGCAGAACGACTCCAGGCTCATGAAACGGGTAATTTTTGATTTCCCGCACGGCCGCTACGCGATCTGCCGGAGCGTCGGATCCTGGGAGGGGAATATAATATCCGAAATACTTGAGCGCTCGGAGAATCACAAAAATCTCCACTGCGCGAGAATTGAAGGACACGATCCCATCATTCTCAACATTAAGTGCGCGCCCTCCAAGTCCAATGCACGGAAGATCTGAAGAAGCTGCATTAACTTGGTCGCGCAAGGCTTCCAAGCACGCGTCGGGAACCACAGTTCCACCTGCTCTAACCTGCTGGCAGGGTCTCTTCCGACGCTTGTGCTCCAGGCTAGCGGGGACCAGTTTTTTCCTTGCGCAAACCGGAATTTCCAGGAGGTACAAAAGTTCGCGATAACTTACGGAATACTCCGAACCATTTCCTCTCCCAGAAGGCATGTCGACAATGATTGCCGTGCTGTGCGGAGTCTGCAACGCCTGTCGCACAATCAAATCGATCGGCTCCACGCCATCAGGTATTCGGACAGGAGTTGTGCGGCTCGCATCCACTATGTGTTGTTCCATGTCTTCTGCTGGTGAGGAAGCGCTATGACGTCCACCGATATAATCGTTATTTGCCACGTTTTTGATGCTTTCCCGTTCATCTTCGATCTCTGATGTCTTTTGCGTCTCATGAAAACGATCAGCCGTTCCTACTTCCACTTGCGAAGGCAGGCTTGCTCTCGAATTGAAACGGTTTGCCGATCGCCTTACTACAGACTCGTGAAGTGCGCTTATGAAGTTGCGGCATCGACATAGCAGCTCTTGTTTCATGTACCTCACTAGGTCGATCATTCTACTCTCTGCGAAGATTGTTTTGGGGTAGGTGAGCGCACCCGTTGAAGCACAGAAAACGATGCGTGGTTTTTCATCGGCGGAAAGAACGAAAGCTTCAAATGCGCGATCGTCCGGACAGAACACACATTGGAAGTCAGAAACTGCAGGGATGGCAGCTGCATCTGATGAACAATTAATCAAGTGCCACAAAGCGAAACTCTGCAAAGACGTTTGGTCCAATTCCCAAGAAGTAGAACTTCCACGCACTTCTTCATCTGATCCGTCCTTGTCCTGCTTTTTGCCTCGATACTTCTGCTTTTGCATGACCCGACGAAGCACCCTTGTCACCAGGTCGTTGCTTTTGCTCACCATGCCCTGCGGCGTTGTCGCTGATCCCCTTGCTCGCCTTCGCCTTCCACTTCCGAATGGTATCCATAAAGCTTTTTTTTCACGAGGAAAAGACAGGCGTGTTGCGCATTTGGCTGACATATCTGTAGGTCCCACGTAATTGTGACAGACAATCGCGATGGCACCATTTGCCTCCGCAACGCGGTGCCCGCTAGCAAAAACGCATGCATCGTAAAAAACTTCCAGCAACATTTCTTGTAGACTGGCATGAGCATCTCTACTGCCGTCATGACGACGAGCATTCGTGGAAAAAAAGGACATAACTTCCTCCAGCTCTTCGCTGCCTACAAGTCCGAAGAATGACAACTCTCCATACTGATGCCCCATCCCGCTGTTTGTAGACCTGCTATCTTCTATCTCGTTGTATCGTGACTGAAAGTCTATGGGTAAACGGAGTCCAAACACAACATCTCGCACGCGAAACATGCGACCCCAGATGCTGGAAGTGAACAACAAATCGCCCACAGAGCCAAGCGAGGGGTCGACTGGATGCGGACAAATTTTGTCCCACAACTTCACCGGGTAATTTGACAGGGGCCGCTTTGGTTTAGCAGCCGCTGCATTTTTCAGCTCTGGCGTTACTGTATCAATGAGCCACTTGAGACGCACAACCAAGGACGCCATAGTCTCCTCGCTCCGGGCCTTGACGCGCATCTTGTCTCCTCGAAATTCAAAACTGATATCGACAGTCGGATTCTCACTTTCAAAACCGGGAATCGTTTGTACAAGCGTTGCTGGCGATGCTGATGTTGTCGTGTGGTCCTTTACTTTCACTTTCTCATGACTGAGACTGAAAAGTCCATCTTTACCACTGCAATCTTTACCACGACTATTCGTAGTAGCGTCAGAAGTTCCCAACTCGTCAATTCGGTCATCGAAGTTGTGAAATATTACCATGCCGGAATAGAGCGGCTCATTTGCCGGAAGGCAGGCAGCCGCACGCAGTTCTGTCGGAGACATGAAAGCGTACTGCATCGCTGCCATGAGCTGTGCGTCCACTTCACGCAACATAAGCAGCCATGACGTTGGAGGAGGAGGCGGAGTCGGAGATGGACCTGAAAATTCTGCATGCTTATATGATCCCTCTGCAGCTTTGGCTGCTCTTGTGTCGGTTCCCAAATCCTGCGAAAACGGAAACCACAGCGGCGCGCCGCGCAAACTCATGCCGACTACAGCTGCAGTTGCATAAACATGGAGCAACGACCGTTGTGGGCCCATCAAAAGCTGGCAGAAAAAATGCAGAATCGATTGCGGCCCTTGCAGGCCAAGACCCGCGCTGGCTGTTCGCAGACTTGCAAAATCAAAGGCGTGCCATTCGCTAGTGCAGATTCTTTCGGTGTACAGCTCTTGCGTGGATTTCAAGGTGGGGAATTCCCGTGGCAGCTGGCCTGTTTCTGTTAAATGCAGCGCACTGCGGTTCTCCAAGGTAGCGAAATTGCGTGGAAAGCAATGCTCCTGTAGAGCAACATGCTCGTCGGCGGTTGCAGGCATGAAACATGATTTACGGCTGAAGTGGGTCATCCAGAACCGTCCGGCGTCAAACAAATTATTGTGCCGACATGCCTCTTCCGCTTCACAAAAATCCAAGAAATCACTGCCGAACATTACACCAGCCGTGGCAGGGGGACCACACGGGCTTTCTTTCTCAGCACAAAAATGCTCATAATCTCGCTTGTTTTTCCTCAATATCATCTCAGCGGCCCGCCTCTGAATGCTGTCAAGCAGCAGTGTCATGCCCCATTGATCAATTAAGGCATGCGACATGGAGACGACAAGAAACAGCTCCACAGCATTTTTGATATCAGGCGCCGGCTCGACACACACAAGACGCAACTGCCACAACTTTGGAAGACTCCTGTCGTGAACTGGAGTACTAGAATTGCTGTTTTCCAATGGTGGTGAGACGGGGTTTACTGTGTGCTTCGACCTCGAAACGGACTTAAATGTATCGCTTGTCCCTGTCAGCAGAAATGTGCGCAGATCGTCCTTCGCATTAGTCTCGGACTCAGTCTTAGTAACAGGAGTTGTCACTACTTTATTGTATGACGCCTTCTGCACGATTACAGTCCTTTGCATATCAGCCTGAGGCTCCCAGTAAATCTCCCCGTCGCTTCCTCTTACAGGCTGAATATGGAAGATGTCATGGCTTTCCATCGTCTCGCCAAGAAGCTCTAGCCATGCTGTGATCTCAGCATCTGACGAGGTTACTCCACCTCCAGCGTGAGGTTGTAGCTTCCCAAGTTTCACGACGGTTTGTAGCAAGCTTGGGAGTTCGAGTGTCCGCGTCTGCGCATCAGCCTCTCCATACGAACCCTCTATGCTTTTGCTTATTGCGGGAGCAACTGCTTTCCCTTTCACTCCCTCCTCTAAATCCATGATGTCCATACGTAAGAATCCGTCCTGGGCCGCTGTCGGTCGCACCAGCCTTCTCATGCAACCGTTGCAGAGTACATCAGTGTGAGAGGAGAGCCGCAGTGACCTCCCCAAGCCACCAATTAGCTTGCCAAATGACGTGCGTAGTAGGTTCAGCAGAAGCCTCTCCGCGGTCGCAGAAACGGAATATACCGGAATGCGCTTTTTCTCGTTGGGGTGCTGTCCTGTCAGGGCATTCCCGTCGACCGTCTGCGCGGCAGGTATGGTTCCGAAAGGGCCAGCATCTCCTGGATCTGCTTTATCACCATGACAATCTTGCTCGTCCTCTGCTTCAACATTCTCCTGCCCTAAGACAGCTGCATCGCGTAAGATATCACTCAGACTCTTGTCCGGATTCAACAGATCCGGAACGCGGATTCGAGCCCTTACTGACCTACAGCAACGTGCGAGAACCTGCACAGCGGCAGTGGAAGTTCCGCCATGGGCTTGAAACGATTCTTCAAGCTGTAAAACATCAGGACTCGGTAAATCCAACGAATCTGCGAGGAGAACGTGGAGAATTTTGACGTTAGATGAAGTGGATGAGGTATATGTATCGGGATCCTCATTATCTCGTTGAGCTCTCGTTTCCTGTCCTCGCAATCTTTCTTCATCGATTGACCTTATCGCCGATAGCTCCTCTAGCTGTTTTTGAAGTTCGCCAAGCAATATTTTGCTGGTCACCTCACTCCGAGGAATCTTCGAAAGAAAAGTAAGCGGCACACCAGGCACGGTGCGTCGGACAGCGAGAATCATTTGAGATTCGGTTTGTCTCCTGCAATTGGAGCGTAATAAAGATGCCCATGCACCATGATCTGTAGGGGTATATTCAACAGCCACACAAAGACGCTCATCACAAATGCATGCATCACTGCACAGGGGGCGGACTGTCTCCAACGCATTTTCCAAATCCACCCAAGTTCCACGGATTTTTGCTTCACGTGAACGGGCAAGCCGACCTTTGTAAAAGAATCCATGTGAGACGGAAGGCTGGTCCCCCGCAGCACCGGGAGCCTTTGCAGGTAGTTGTATGGGTCTCGACACATCATCTGTGCTCTGTACTTCATCGCCAGTGGCAAACCAGGTACCTTGCTGTGCAGGCTGAGAAAGGGATCTCCTTTTTTGGTCATTTTTGTCTACACCAAAGTTTGAGCCACCGTCTGTTTGAACGTAACCTGCGAATATTGCCGAGCCACGGACTTCAAGCCCGCCCGACGTCGGGCAAACACGCCAACTAAGCTCATCAGCTTCGCAGATGCAAAGAAAAGGATCTTCCAGACGGGAACGGAAAAACGAGAACCAGTACTCGGTCGCAATCAAGAGGTCAAAAAACTGCAGCTTTTCCATCTGACTCCCAATGTCTATTTTTCTTTGCGCTGCAGCTTGCGCAAATTTTTGCTCGACTTCGCGGGTACAAGCTTCACCCCACGATATGGCAACTCGTAAGCATTTTGGAATGAAATAGCGACACCACAGGCTTGGCGGAAATCCAGCGACTGTGATTGCGTACTTTTCTAGCATCTCAGGTTCTGCCAAAGCTGATTTATCGCATACTACAAGCGTGCCACGCAAAGCGAGAGCCAGATCCACCTGCCCAAGAACCGCTGCTCCCCACATCAAAGACGATGGCTGTAATATGCGTTCGCCTCCTCTGCTTTCACATGATCCTTGAAGCAGGGACAGCAAAAGCTTTCTGTAATTCCGCACCTCAGACAAGACCATTTCGCGTGTACATTTGGCCAACTTCAGCTGCTTGCCTCCAGTCGTGCCTCCGGTCGCGCACAGAGCAACGATCTTATTTTTCTTGGTTTGATCCACGTCTACGCGAGAGTCGACAAGAGTTCTGTAGTGATCAATTGGCTGGACATGAGCGATTTGGTCTTGATGACTCGTTCCCGTCACACTCTTCTCTTTCAACAGCGTTCCTGGCGTTCGAAGTGTCCGACTCTCCGAATCGTGCCTGACTACAGAAGCCCGAAGCTTCTGCGCTTGCACCTGGTCCTCTCCAAGCTTTTTCAACTCCTTCATGGAAAGCGTAAGAATGCCGTGTCCTCGCTCAAGCAAGCCAAGATGTACGTGCTCGGAGTGTTCAAGTGCTTGTGATGGTTCCTTCTCATCCTCGCAGAGTTTCACAACCAAACATGGTTGCGCCACCTTGCAAACCTTACAGTTCCAGCTCCAGGCCGCTGACGGTTCATCCCCAGCAAGTGGCACGAAGGGATCTAGAGAAACGAAGATAGCACCGATACGGCTGCACGCAACGTAGAGCGCATACCAGTCGCATCCGCACGGTAGGTGCGACGCGATAACGGCCTGCTTTTCAACGCGGTCATCTCCAGGACCTTCCTTTGCAGTTGCATCTTCATCGGCAACAAAAGGTGAGTAATTCTCAGAGGCCTCTTCTTCCCGAGTTGTGCTCTTGTTGTGTAGTCCACGGAGGAGAGATCTGAGAGCTGTTGCTAATTGCAGCGAGGTCGACTGTAGCTCGGCATAGGTAAACCGCTTCACGGCTGGCACCTCCTCGACCGCCACGCGGTCTGGCCAATGACTCACGATTTCATCGACGACGGCGTCAGCCATGTTGTGTATGTTCGTAGTTGTGGTTGTTGTTGTTGTTCTTCATGTTCTGGTTCTGATTGATTCATATGTGATTATAAATCTCACTCTATCGCCGTGATTCATTAGTTTTACTAAGCTTAGAAGTAGTGGATACGTGAGCTTAGATACAAGACCAAGAAGACGAAAGTTGACGTGGAACGAACGCTGCATATCCATCAATGATTTTGATTATCATCAAAGCCAACAAGAAAGCAGGAAAAGTTGTAAGTCGTCCGGGGTTTTTCATCTTATTCAACCGAATAAGTACCGAGTTTTCATGTCGAAATTCAACGAACAGGTCGCAAAGTCATGGGAAAAAGAGGAGAAGTACTGACTCCGTGTGAAAGTGTTCCAAAGAAAACCTTCGACACCTCAAATGACTGTGGAGTTTGGACAACAAGCAGGAAGTCAGCTTTTGTTCATCATGTTGTTCTGGTGATATGAGGACTGTTATCTTCTTCATGTTTTGATCATCTCCTCGAAAACGATAGAACTGCAAGGTAGAACAAAAACACAAGCGGCATCCTGAAAATCATGTCGAGCGACCCTTGTGTGCTTCTTGATTTTCTATTTTCTCTTTCAGAATAATTTTCCACAAGTCAAAGCGTGAAAAAGCCTCGGACCAGCACTGTTGGCCACATGAACATGGAGATCATAACGCGGCACAGTTAGTAGACCATTGTTCATGTACTTATCATCAATGCTGTTGAAGAATCCCATATAAAGAATTTTCGTTGGCAGGCATTCTCCAATAGAGCAATTTTTTTGCTACGAAGGAGATGAGTGAATTGAAATTGTCTCCTCTTTTTCCAGGACAACATGAAGACGAGAAGAACGACACTGGGGGATACCCATAGTGCTCACCATCGATTGGACACCGACACTCGATTTCTTCTTCAAGTGAATCAATTTCTTCATCCCAATCCCACTTTCTACCGCGGCTACTTGCTAACTGTAGCTGCTATGACGATGAGATTGCGATTCAGATAGTGATAGTTGTATGTTGACAATAGCTAGTGATGTTTGTATCAAATTGACCCTGCTGCAGGCTATTATAACGTTTTATTTCTGTTTAATCTGGTATTCGTATTTTTCGCTGGAACAAATCATGACATTACCATTAGTACCCTATTCTAAGGGAAAAATAGATCATCCTCATCATGAATGAGAATGATGAATCTACAAAGGATGAAAATGATCTACCAGGCTACATGGACAATCTACATTCAAACGAACTACAAGCAAGTATTAGCTCGAGCTACCACCAAGATCAAGAAGAACTATACCTACAGCAATAATACAAAGGTATCAGCAACACAGAAGACATTTCTACTTCGTGAGGTGGTTATGCTCGCGGTTTGCCACCTCCATCTGATAATGTATGACGAGTATTCATTCTCATTTTCAAAAAAGAATGACAAAACTGCAGAATATTGTTGTGTTAATTCTAGGTTATGGTGATGGTGATCTGGCTTCCTAGCAGACCTAGACTACGCCTACGGCGCCTTGTACAGAGTAGAAATTCTCTGATGAAAACCGAATAAATGACATACTTAGACATAACGATATTGATGAAGACGCATGAAGAATCCCAAGAACATGCTAAAAACAGCAGTTTCGTTGATTTTTTCAAGAACAGCTATGATAACCTCGTCGGACGACTAAACAAATGGAAAACACCAGATGAGAGGACTCCAAGAGGTGCACAAAATTGCAACATACTAATCACAAAAATGAGATAATTCCTTGTTCACTGATTCTGGAATACGAATAGCTCTTGACTTCTATGAATCATCCAAGTTGCTTGCTTCTTGTAAACAAAACCATAGCTTTTTCTACTTCTTGGTGCTTCTCACGCCTACATCTTTCTTTAGATAATTGATTGCTCATTGGACGAGACAAAAATGGGTACGTACATATTCTTCCGTTGAACAGATCACAAACATTTTCTTTTCATACTCCTCCCAAGAAACGATGGGTGACGAAATATATATATATTTAAGTAACCGCTGCTTTTACTAGCAGAATAAACACGACCACATCAGACAGCAAGCAGAGGATTGTCAGCTTGATCATACACGCCGAGGACGAGGTCGATAAGGTTACTGAAGAAAATGCATATTGGAGTACTGCTATGCACATCTCCTAGTTGGGTCTGATGAGAGGCCTTCTGCTTGAGCTGGTGTCGTGTTCGAAGATGATTTGACTGTGTAGGTGTACGAAGTACGTTCCTTATATTTGGAGATATCCAGCAACAGCATCATCATGATGTACGTACCATCTGCATGTTGTAAATCGAAATGGCATAAAGCGACAGCGGCCCTCGCCTACATACTTGGAAAACAAGTTTTCTATATCATGGAGTTTTTTTCTTAGACACAGGATGTGCATGTGCATGTGGTGGAGTGATACCTATCTGGACGTCAGTGCAATTTGCGAGTCGACAAAGAGCGTCAATGCGGTCGGTCTTCCCGTCACGACAAGAAGACACCCAACCAGCTATCCACCATTCACCGACCTCCTGCACGACCTGCTTCCTCAGAGCAGCAACTTATGAAGAATTTCGTTATTAACCACGATGAACAACGTGGCTCTTAAGTTGTTCCTTGTTATTGGAAGTATGTTAAATACGATGGTATGGAAATCGAATTAAGTTAAGTAGATGCAGTAAGCAACATCGTCATGGTATTGTAACAACATAGACTTTGATACACGATAAGCAAAAACGTTAACAACCTTAGGAATATGATCAATCCACCTGCTCTATGTCATCAGTCCTCTAGAACTTTTTGTTCAAGAATATGTGGCAGGTTATATTTGGCCTTTGGCTTCCTTCACTCAAGAAACACCATGAAAATTGCACTACAGTAACTTTGCAACTGCAGTGCATTGGCATCAGATGTTTTTATCAATCAGAAAAATGATTCCTATCCCTTTTTGTTCGTCCTTGTTTTTTACATGAAAATGATTAAGTAACCCGTTGTTTTAAATTTTTTTACGCTTACAATATCAATACTTATAAACTATTACTTAATTATAATCAACAGGAGTATGTTGAATCGAACTGTCGATAAGTACTTCTATATTCTTCTCGTCTTCACGTGGCCCGTGGCTTACTAGAAATGATGGTCGGTAACGAAAAAATATGATCAGGTTTAACTCAAAAGCATGCTTGAAGAGGACTAAATGGGTAACAACGCATGGGGAGGGTTGAAGATAGGGGAAGTGAAAATCAGAAGAAGATGTTGCTGATTGGAGGAGTGTTCTACGTCGACTGAGCAGTTACAAAATAGGGGACTAAAACTCATCAATATCAAGTAGGTTGTCGTATCATTATAAGCCTAAACTTCTACGGTGTAGTATGAATGTCAAACACGTTGATTTCGTCATCAAAAATCGTGAATCATCATCATCAGGACTGTCGTGAGGAAAAGCAGGGCTAGTGGCTGCTGGCCCAAGTAGCTGAGGAAACAAGCGAAGAGGGTGGTTGCCGCAAGCAGAGGAGTTCATCGGGGATCACTAGTTCTGGGTGAAATTTCTGAATTTCAAGAAGGAAGTAAAGGCGTAGCTGCGACTCGCTCAGTTGTGGGATATTTTCGAATTCCAGCACAATCTTGCTGTCCGCAACGCGGATCTTGCTCGCGCTGTACAAATTCTTGAATAACGGATGCGCCAACGCACTATCCACATCTATCCTCTCCGAAGCATCCAGGATCTGGTGTGAGCAAAATTTTTGGCAATGAGGTAATACTAGTAGAGCGAGCGCAATCAGTTTAAGTAATATGCGCAAGGCTACACCTATCACTATCTAAGACCATAAGCAAGCGCAAGCGCAAGGGCACAAAACAAAAACAAAACAAGAAGGACAAGAAATATTCATTTCTTAAGAGAGTCCAAAGCCATAGAGTTGTAGAACGAGTACCAGCATCTTATCCAGGAGGTCTAGCGCTTCGACGCTACTGGCTTGAAATCTTGGCATTTCGTCCCAGTTCAAACGCCTTCGTTCACGGAAGCAACGTACGTACCTTATTGAAGAATTTGAAAAGTGGTTAATCGTCAATAACAAATCAATATGCGAAAAGAAGAAGCTGAAAGACTATTTAGCTACAGGGTCAAAGTATCAATCGATATCTATGATGAAATAGATACTAATATCATAATCATCTTGTTCATGCTGAACTAGCATACAATAACAACTACTGCGAGCAGGAAGCGCCTCATCAAAGAGTGTTTCGAGAAATTCAAATGGTACCTCTTTGCATCGATTTTGTCTAGCTTTTCGACTGCTTCTTCGCTGGGTGTTCCCAACACATTGAATATCACGTTCAATTGGTCCCTGCTCTGCCGATTGTAGTAATACTGATACTCCTTATCGTGCTCCTTATGAGGGCTCAGCGGGTAACACGTATTGCCCTATTTATTTGCGGATAATCACATGGTTGGAAGTTCAAGAATTCTTGCCGGCTCAAAATGTAATTTTTGATGGACTTCCGGTATCTATCCCCAGTAACAAATCTTTGACAGTGGGATGCGGATGGTATTATTACCGGCGTTGTACTTATAAGAAATTATCGACATAAAATTTGAGTACCTGGAATAATGGGCATCGCTCTTTTGGATTCGGGTAATTGCCTTGGATCATCCCTAGAAGCTCAGCAAATATACAACCTAAACTCCACACGTCTATCTGCTCCGTGTAATTTTCCTGCAGTAATATCAACTCTGGGGCTCGATACCTGGCATGTACAGAAAGTGAAAAGTAAAAGAAGGGATGAAGTATGATATCAGTTCTGACTTCTGTCTGGGAAGAATCGTTAATCACAATAAGTGTCTTCTTTGTAGTATAGTTTGTGTGAGTGACGTCACCAGTGGTTAAAAGCACTGTCGTTGATCTAAGTTCCATATAGGTACCATCTAGTAACGACATGGCCGGTCAGCCTTCGAGTCTTCTCGATTGACTGGCTGTCCTCCATACTTGAGGGGTACCTTGCGGGGTTTGTTAGTTGATGACGATTCTTCATTTATTGTAATCTTAAGCCACCTGATGTAGGTGGAGCGATACTATTGACACATTTCCGCATAACTGAACTTGAAGAGAAAGAAGGAAGGTCTGTAAATGTTCATCGATCATGTTGTACATCTAGGTTTAGTACTACAATCATCAGGATTCATATTCACACCGGAAGATGCATTTATATCCTCATTACCCGTTGTTATCGATATTCGACAGCATCTCATTTTCTGGGTCCACCACGGGCCTGCTAAGTCCAAAGTCGCATATTTTTACTGAGCAGTCGCGATTCACGAGGCAATTTGCGGGTTTGAGATCGCGATGATAGATTCCTGCGCTATGAATGTACTTGAGGCCACAGAGAGTGTTGAACAGTAACGTCACAACGTGGTTCTCGGACAGGTACTCGGGTAACTTGAAGAGCTTTTTCAGGTCACTGTCGCACAGCTCGAGAACAAGGTATAACTCGGTAAACCCTTTGGGATCGTCAGGCACGCACACATCGATCAGCCTTACGGTTCGTGGGTCGTCCAGAAAGGCAAGGATTGCAATCTCACGCAGCAGACGCTTACAATCAATCAAATCCTCAAAGATCCGCTTGATCTTTTTAATAGCTACACTCATCCCGGTCTCCTGGTCGATCGCATGACACACTTTACCTGACGATGTTTGTGTTTTGTGTTTTGCATGAGTTCTTAACTGTTGTTAAACAAGGACAGACCCTCGTCTTCGACAGCAAATTCATCACATAGAAGAGCCTCGTCTTCGGAGTCTGGTAAGAATAACTATGTACTAAGTAGTTGAATTACCATAACTGCCGCTCCCAATGACCTTGACTAGCTTGTATCGTGGTGGCACTGCCCACTTCTCTGATTCGGAGTTGTACATATTTCCGCCACCATTGCCTCCTGCGCCTTCCACTCTAACTCTGCGGCCTTCATTTTGGTGCGGCTGCTGTTGTTGTTGTTGCTGTTGCTGGTGGTGGGCCTGCTGGGGATTGCCTCCCTGAACCTGCTGCTGTGCTGGATGTCCTCCCTGAACTTGCTGTTGATGATGAGCCTGGACTTGTTGCTGTTGCTGCTGTATGTGCTGCTGAGCCGCTTGCGGAGGTGCCGCATGCGTCACCCCGTGTCCCGAGTGGCGAGGCGGAGGTTGCTGCGCATGATGGCCCCCAGACAGGTGCGCTTGCTGCGTGTGATGCGCACCCGCATGATGCGGGTGATGCTGCGGCGGGACACCTTGCGGAACAGTCGCTACGTGCGGAACCACACCAGGACCAGCATGCTGCACAATATGAAAGCACAACAAGAAGAATCAAGGGTCTTTGAATATTATTCAAGAATGCAAAGACAATGACAAAACAACGATTACTCTTTGCTCAGTTCCTGTAACAAGAATCGGAAACCTGCAAGGTGCGTGTCTGGTGACAGTTGTTCCAGTTCCAGCAGTAGAATAACTATTATAACCTTGAGCTCGTCCACGCCCACCCGCAACCGCATCCAACCCGAACCCCCGGATTATATCATTATATTAATTATCAAACGATATTGATATTCAAATTTCTAGAGGATGAGGACTACTCACTCAGAACACGAGAACTAAAGAAGGTCATCTGAACATAATGCTGATGGTGCCCGTGTGTAGCGACAGGGTGATGTTGCGCATGTGCAGCATGGTGCGCATGCTGTGCGTGCTGAGGGTGCTGCGGATGTTGAGATGGGTGATATCCAACGGGGCCGGCATTGTTTCCATGATAGTGATGGTGTTGCGGGTGCTGCTGGCCCTGATTGCAGTGATGTTAGTGAGAACATGTTTTCCTCAGCAATTCGAAGTTGCTTCCTTTAGGAGTAACTCGAAACTGTTTTTGTTCAGGGAATCACTTACCTCTAAGGCAGATGCAGAGATGAGAAATCTTAGGAAACTGTTTTTCCAGCCACCTATCTTGGAAAAGGAAAAACAAAAGTTATCAAAATTAAGTGCCGTTGCACGATAATCTAAAGCTAATTTTTTTTGTACTCCACGGACAGCCGACGATGCGTGTTGCTGATGTTGTCGCATATCTGCGGCGCAGTGCTTGTTGTTCATGATTACTGGCTCCAAATCAAGTGTTTCCTGCTGTACGTAGTCAGTGCGACCACTACTTCTGCTTCTCGAACTTCTTGATGATGAGTTCGTCTCCTGCTCCAGAGAATAACGTACGCGGAGCACTACCTTATTCTTTTCGTTGTATTTCGTTTTCGATCTTTTCTTTCTAAATTCAAGATGCTGTTGCTGTTTGAGTGGTCCTTGTCTTCGTCTCACTAGTAATTGATGATGACACCACACTGAAGATGGAGAGGACGCAACTTTTATTTTTTCCAAAGCCGCCCAGCAAAGAGCTGCTCCAGACGTCAGAATCACCAGGAGAGAACGCAAATACTTCTGCCTGCGGTGGTTGCTGCTTGTTGGCAATCTCTAGTAGTGTATCAAAGCAAGCAAAACCTCTTCACCATCTTCTTGTTCTTGTTGTTGTTCCTCCTGCTGGTATCTATCAAGTACACGCTAGTATGAAAGAATCAATTATCCTGAAGTAGTGTATGATCTCGATGTCGATGTAGTGTTATGTTATAATTCGGCTAATCCTAATATCCTTTCCCTTCTTGTTAGTCGCATCTGGCTAATCTCGCACCACTCGATAGTACTATTACTAGTACTCCTCGGCAGTTGCAGTTCTTGTAAACTACTCTGCAATAGAGATAGACGATAACGAAAAAAATAACAAGAATTGATGTTGCAGAGATAGCATACGTAAAGCGATGGTCGTCGTCTTGCAAAGAATGCAATTACTATTGATCCTGCTGTTTTCACACTTACAAAAAGGTGCATTTAGTTGTAGAACCAATGCGTAAAGAGCAAAACTGACGAGAACGAGATTTACGCAACTGCTAGTACTATACTCTTCATCCAACTAGTCCAAGGTAGTGCTTGATCGTGTTGTAAGTATTGATTCTAGTAGTGTAGTGTGACTCTCCTCTTTCCCTCGTCCTCCTGCTCACGTGTCTGGCGAGACCACAGATCACACAACACTGTGCATGGAGGACAGTGTCCGCCACGGCCTCATTGGTGGGACAGAACTGGCCTGCCCTCTTGGTGTACTTCCACACCTCGTTTCCGCTCCTATTATGATGAAGTGCTCCTCCTTGCAGAAAAATAAATGAAGATCGCCCTCGTTGTTCATCATAGTCAGTGGTGGTTCGTTCTGGTACTCGTTTTTCGAAAAATGAAGAAAGCCACTATAATCAATCACGAGCACAATCATCTAAGAGGAGATAAGGGACTATAGAATGAGAAGGAATGTTTCCGTTACAGCAAGAAAAACATAAACATGTGCGATCAAAAAAAAGAAAACCGCTCAACCTGCTTCTCACCTGTGTCTTTAAAATGTGAAAAATTTATGTGCTTGTTTTTAAGTAGTACATTCCTCCACAAGCACGGGAGTTGGACTCAGGTTTTGACTTTCATGGATGTGGACGATTCGAAGAATTTAGTTGATGTAGGCTCGCTCCAGCACATGGGTCACGAGGACGACACCGGTGGGTATGCCAGTACGACCAGCCTCGTATTTTAACCTGACTGAAACTGACATCAACACTTCCATAAAATCATTGAATTCAATCAAATTTGCATATGATCTGAATGAATTGCTTCGAACCGATTTCGAGGACAGCAAGCAGGAGTTTAAGACAATAATCTAGTCGTAGAGGAGGAGAAACCTGATTGAACGATCATACAACAGGGTGAACTCTTGAAAAGCAAACGGTTCTTCTACCACGAACCACCTGAAGAATAAGATTAAGAACTAATCCATATTATGACGCTAGCCAAGCGGAAACCCGGTTACAGCACAGGGTTGCAGAAGAGACCATGAACCAGTACGCCTCCAGTGATCATCTTCATCGATGATGATGTTCTTAAAAAACGAAGACGCCTTCATTTTAGCTTTCTACTACAAGATAGACGGATAGGGACAACATTCTCGTTAAAAGACAACAAGGAAGATCCTCGACAAGTGAAAGTGTGGATCGTCCGCCGGAACGCTTTCTTCTTGAATGCTCTCTAGATGTTGAACTTGAATGAGATCTACAGGTACAGGACACGAGATAGCCAATCAGGTGCACTTATACGCCAAAGAAAAATTCCTACTTCATCATCTCTATGGCCTACGCAGCGTATACAGAGAGCTGCACAAGGACGAGTGAACAAAAGACACTCATTGACGTTGACCTCTATATGATCTTCGTGAATCGTCGTGAATACTAAGTATACTGCTGCGATCAGGGATTGAATGCGAATCCGGATCAAAGAGAGAAGTAAGGACAAGCATAATCGTGCACAACAAGATCATCCGCGAGAGTTTTTTGGTATGGCTGATCCTGCCAGGAGGAGCAGCCAGGACATCAAGATCGATGTCCTTTTCTCGTGTGTCCTCCGTGAACTTGATGTAGTCTGTAGACAATACTCGTGGTCTGTTTTGACGTAACTTGCTCTTGATCTCGATTGCCGAAAGAAAAGATCGTCGAGGCCGTGAAAAGCATTATTCGCACGATATACAACTACTTAGCACGCGCCCTATATCGTGGCGTCCGTGACGAGGAGCAACTGGAGCATGTTGTACTTCTATAATCTGCTTCCTCGTCGTTTTCAACCTCAGGTAGATGAAGTAGAACTGTATGGGTAAGTATTCTCTTTCACAATTCGAGCAAATTCTACCGGATTGTCGATCGGTATTTGGTGGCCTGCGCAAGGACAAAGATGGTATCGTAATATATCAGGGTACTGGTCGAGCAGCCGCAGTGTACTTTCACGATCCATCCAGTCCAAATCACCGTAGACGAACTCGATACGGCGGAGAGAAGTACTTCTTCTAGACATAATTTGATCCGAGAGTACACCACTTGTAGAAGACGATGAAGCAGCTGGCCCTACTTGATTTACTTCGAAACCAGAAGCGAATGGAGCAGGTCTTTGCGACTTGTTGCGCGGATCTTCTAGTGACCGGATAAGCCCTTCGATCCTTGGCGCAAGTGGGCGGCGTCCCCAAGGACCCAGTTCGAGGAGGGTAAATAAACAAAGTTCGGCGCTTGGAGGTGCACAAAAATTTTCGAACATATAGTCGGCGAAGTTATCCCGTGAAAAGCCACGGCCTCTGCAGATGCTTGTTTCGTCGTCGGCTTGAAAAGTCGCCAAGGAGGTCGTCGTGACTACACATTTGGACGACGACGACGAAGGACAAGGAGTAGCAGGGTAGACATCAATCTGTTCGCTCATTATTTTGGCCGACGAACCGGTCGTAATCGTTTTTACCTCTTTGGAAGTGCTGCTCGGGGCAGTGGCAGCTCCACCAATGGTATCAGCACTCTCTAAAATAAGCCATTGTCCATTATCTCGGAACCTTCGTCCAACGAAATGCCGCAGAAGCCAACGCCCTATAGATTCTGGCAAGCGACGAAAAAGAACGGCTGGCCACGCCCATCGCTCATTCCAGGCACGCCCAAGGGTTCGCTCAACGACGTAGAAAAAGCCACGCAAGGGAAAGGATAGCTCTGCCATACTCTTCGGCGGCGACGTTGTGGAAGAGGAGATAGAGGTGGAGGAAGTCGAGGTGGATGAAAACGATGGAAAAAAGTTGTATTGAAGTTCAGCAAGGGTGCGAAGAAACAAATTGTGCAACGCCTCCTTGTCAAGGCTTTGGCTCATTCGATTTGAGTCTTTAGTTTCCTGGAGAATATTCATCTTCTCGCTAGGTTCAACAAGTACACCATCACCATCTTTATCACGACCATTTTTTGGATCGGAGGCTCGGGCTCCTCCATGGTGTATCATGTTAGTCGTGTCTGCACCAGCATTGCTTCTTTCCGGATTTCCACTTTGTTCTTGTGATGAAGGAGCGGGCGTCCGTATACCTCCCACGCCTGCGGGCGAGGCAAGGATCAAGTGCGACACTCGTTGCGGGAAACGTTCGCAGTAGCAAAATGCGAAATATCCGCCAAGCGAATGACCAACCAGCACATCCACGTGATCAATCCCTACGCCGCTACGCCATCCGTCAAAGGCATCAATGAAAAGCCTCTCCACAGCGCAAATAACTCGCTCTGACGGTTCGGCTGAAACATTCTGAAGCAGTTTTTGCAACCAAGATGGGCGGGAACTCAGGCCGTAGCCTAACCAGTCGCAAGCGAAAACGGCGTGGTCGGGAAACTGCTCAGACAGAGCCCGAAGAGCTCCCGAGCAACCGCCTGCGCCGAGACCAAAACCATGCCAGAGAACAACATTTTTCGAGGAAGGTGAGCGCGAGGCTTCCTCTTCTTCTCGACCACGCCCACGAACGGGTGCTAGCTCAATGCTATGAATCGTCTCGTTGTGTACAACAAAAGCGGCTTTACTCCACGCACCTTCATCGTCCTCCTTTGTTCTACATATTTCAAAATCCATACGATCATCATCGTCCTTCGTCTTGTCTATGTTGTCGGCGGGTGTTCTAGTTTGTGAAATCAGAACTTCGTTTTCATCGGTGCAATTGTCTCGATCGTCGTCTGCACACCAAGACGAGCGACCTTTCTGCAGCCAGCGAGGCACCCGCAAGCTGATAGACACGTCGCGCACAAGAAATTCAGGATCGCCCTCGATCAAATTTTTCTCTGCTAGTCGGAGCTTCGCAAGATAACCATTACAGGTCGCTGAGGCTGAGGAATCCTCGATATTATTACTTGCGCCGCGAAACAGAGGGGAAGACCCAGAATCAGAAAGCATCTTGACTATATTCTATTTTTTCTCAAAGTTCAAGCTCAAGTACAAGATTGAGTCAGAATCAAACCACACTTTTCACTCGCTATCCGCAAGTTGCAGATTCTACCTTAGATGACGCTGATGCTCACGAAGACCGATCACTCATTTATTAATGAGTACCTCCTACCACTACCTGCTACTGCTAGTCAGTGCTTTTGGCGTCATCATTATCTCGCTCGACAATCTAGTACAAAAAGCTCGCTCGGTGCAACTTGCCAAATATCGGTGCGCTGAATCAGCAGACCCAGCTGATGAACAAACAGCAGGGGTATGAAATCTGCTAGGAATAGAGCAAGAGCACGACAGACTTAAAGTCTAGACTCTGTCTGTGACGCGTTTTTCTTTTACTTCTTCTATGTATCATGAACATGAATGAAAATTAGGATCGTTATTTTTTATGAGGTTCATCTTCATCAAGGAGACGTGGTTTCACCCGTCATGATTCGGTCTTGCGCACCGCTAGAAAGCTCCAAATGAGATATTCATGGTGTAGCATGCTCTTCGCGTTTTCTCCGAGCCTCGATGGCAGAAGAGTGTCGTGCAAGATGTCAAAATGAACGGCAACAGCGCGTCTCAGGTCGTCAAAGGGTAGGTCCAGGCGGTAGCCATGGTGCCTTGTTGTGTGTTGTTGCTGGTTCTCATCCAAAACAGCAACCGGGTCGCGTAGCGGATGCATGCGATATTCCAGTGAACGGGGTGTTTTCTGCGGAAAATGATGGAGCCAGAAGTCACCGGCTTTCAAACGTCGTTTCACCTGGAGAATCTTCGTCAAAAAGGACAAAGACGCTGCCTCGTCACTCATACCGAAGGAAGTTAGGTACACCATTGGTGAGGAAACATGCATCCTACTGCTACCACCGTTTACTGAAGTAGAAGAAGAGCAGGAAGATGTATTTGCAGAGGTAGCTGCTGGTCCCCGTGTGCAATCTGTTCTTTCCTGCTGCTGAAGAACTTGCTCTGCTCGATCCTGCAAGGTGACCACATCGTTCCAACTAGAGCACAGCTGGTAAGCGGATGAACCGACAGCCGAAGCCGCTTCTTTCTCGGAGTTACGGACTTCCGCGGGCGTCGCTGTGCGTGTTCGTTTAGGCGATACAGAGTCCTCGGGTACTAGGGGTAGTATCTCTGAAGATACCACTAAGTCCGGAATTTCGGCTAATCGAAACTGCTCCCTGCGCGTCGTGCGATTGATCTGCATTGACAAACGATCAACAACATCACGCTCGTTCTGTCACACACAAATGACTACAAAAGGAAGAAGATGTTCAGTAGTTTACTACCAGATCAAGCATCATTTTTTGCCTTTGCCCAATTCTCGAGAATTGATCATCTACTTTGGTGAGTCACATACAGATATGTTGTCCACAATCATGAAGCCTTTGCTAGCTTCATGATTTCACAAAATAAGAGCAGTAGTCGCAGTTGAAGTAGTTAATACCGACATACTTGCGTAGGGGTGCACGACATGCGAGTGAAGCGGAGAGACGAGCATTGTTTTCGCAAGAACGGCCTCCACTGGATCCTGCACTAAGGCAGATACGCGGTAGTCATCGTGGTACCTAAGCTTGCAAAATTTTATGCATGCTCGGGATTATGTAGTCGAAAAACAAGGTATTTTTTCATATTCACATTCATTCCGTTTTTTGATGCTGCTCTAAAAGAAGACCACTTCTGTCCGTCATGATGATCAAGATCATCAGTTGCATCAAACTAGTTTAGCCAAGCACACCGCGACACAGTTTCCTCTATATTAACTACAAGCTCCTCTTTCTTCATTTTGATATATACAGTCAAATCTTCACAGGTAGCTGTAAGTATCTATGGTAATACCCTAGGCGTAGAAGTTCTGCTAGCAAGCGACCTGTCCAGCATCCGTCAAGTACGAGATGCGGCCTAGTGGATATTCCCGATGTTGAGTGCGAGGATAGCGGTATGCGCGGACCGCTTTCGAAAGCTTTCGACTGTCCTCTCGACGAGCCGCGTACTCGCCTTCGTGATGACGGAGAAGAGCTAGACAAACTTCTGCCAGGCAAATCTGTGGTTACTGAATTGTTCGCAGACTTCAACCTAAAGCTTCCCGCATCTGTTCGGAGGGCTTTCAGTGCCGAAGATGGAGCCTCGACGTCCATCTGATCCTCGTCCACCACGCCTGTTTCTGTTGTTGCTTCGACATCAACCTGCGCAGTTCCGCCAATAAATTTCTGTTCTGCTTCTAGTCGAGATTCACCTACCTGTTCCTTTGGAGAACATGAAAGTGTTTCTGCTACTCTACGCAAATTTGCGTGTATCGCATCGAGTGATGGAGTCCGAAACTGTTTGCCTTCGGAAGACCAAAAGCTCGCCAAATTTCGAAGTATGGCTTCGCCCTTCACACCTCCAAGATTTTGCACATCCAGATTCAGGAAGGCTGATATTAGAAAGATTGACCATACCAGTTCTCCTTCTCCACCATCGTACTTGAGATCAAGGAAAGATCGATGGCCGACACTTCGAACCAAGCCATCTTCCTTACGCTGCCTGGAGGAGGAAAACCTAGCCTTAACTGAACGTCGAACTCCTGCATCCCCACCTTGCGAAGACCCAATAAATCGGCGAGCGCAAGCTATGAAGATGGTCCGAAAATTTTAACGACACACATACATAGAAAAAGAAACACGAAAAAGTGAAAGAACCGGAGGTGTAAAAACGAACTAGAGCAGTAGCCAGCCTGAACTCTTTTCACCGGACCTATAATTCATACTTTTTAGTAAGCACGGTTATATTATTAACATTAAGTCCGATGTGTGTACTACAGTAGTTGTATGTTGTATTCGGTGTGTACTAACAAGCTAAAAAGTTTCTAGGCTTATTCCTATAAATGACACGCGGATATTAAGAATACTACAAAATGTTTCCACCGCTACAGCTTTGGGATTGGGTTTAGGTAGTCATAATCATAATGTAGCCTAGTTGTAGACCTAGAAGATAATCGTCTCTTTGATTATTTTTGTCACGACTGATGTCCTCACTAGTCCTAGTATCTGGTAAGGTAAAAATAGAACAGGTAAAGCCTCTAATTCTAGCCATAAAGTATCGTTCTGAGTATTGCATACCGCCAGTTCCTCAAGATGCTCGTCGATGCTGAAGTTCAGAGCGCTCTTGTCGTCATCGCTCAGGTGCTGAAGCCACCGGTTGACTCGCGACTCCTCGTTTCGAGAATACTCGAAAAAGACAGAAGGGCCATCGACCTTCATTGATTCGTAGTTTCTATCTTCGTCCAAATCTTGGGCGAGGAAGCTGGTGAGGCTGTACGCTGTAGCGTCTCAATTTGCTTGTTTTGACCGAAAAATTCTCTAAAACTAAAACACACAATACTTCAACTTTTAGATCGTCGACTACAACAGACATCACCTAAGCAAAATACAACGAAAATTCCCCGTCCAATGGTTACGAATAGGAAAGATCCCTTTTTCTACGCCCGGACTTGCCCAGGCAGACCCGCATGACATCGTCAAACAATGATCATACCTGTTCCTTGTCCGTTTTTAAGTAGATCCCAAATGATCATCAGCTTCATCAAGCACAACCAGATGTAGTCCGATACACAGCTATGCACCGAGATAGCAGACGCCAGAAAGTATTTTTTTACGACAGAAACAGAAGAGCAATAACACGTGAGGTAGAAGATCGATCAATCGAACAGGATGGAAATCGAGCGGACTTTATTTTGGCCAGTATTTTTCTTGCATTTCAACATCAAGATCAACAGTCATCACCTAATAATTTCCGTTTCCTCCAGTACAAGGTACAATGTACGATTTGCTCAGTGTATTTTTTCACTTAGCGCCACAGCCTTGCCAATGTCACTGAGTCACAATGTGCCATTATTTCTAGGAATGCCGTCTGCTCCTGTGTGTCGTGTCAGGTCCAGGTGTGAATGCCTGACGATTAATACTACGACTGTGCTTGCGACTGTGGCACCTGGCAATTGCTCATAGACCTTTCGTAGGTGATGTGAACTTTGAGAAAGAGGATGATGCAACTCAGTAGGTTGAAATTGATGCAATTCAGTACTTGTTGAAGATGATGCACCTCATTAGCCTCATATAGGAAAAAACTCATTATCCTCAAAATTCGATGTTTGTCCTGGAAAAAAATTTTAGATAAAACCTAACATAAAATTCAAAATACATAGCTAATTCAACTAGTTAATCTGAAGGGCTGGGATTGCATTGGCTTGCTACGAAAGGCGATGGCGGCTGCAGCTTTGCAGAGGTTGCTGAAAGGCTCTGGATGGGGTTCCCTGAGGATCTCGCAACTCTCAAGTTGTGGTCTTTGGTTTTCCTGTGGATCCAGCACCTGGATCCACTTCTACAGGACTCAAGAGTGAGACCCATACTTTGGGACTGTGGAGACCCTTGGACACCATCTCAAGAGGAGATCCACCCTGAGCCTTGATGGCAACCAAGCAACCAAAGCTGCAGCCCTCCACGCCAACCGCAGCCGCCGGAGTGGACCTCAGCCCTTCAATTTAACTACGTGCCTAAAAACTAGTATAACTAATAGGCGTAGGCCTATCAAAACACTCCAGAAGATATACTCTCCCCTATATTGATCACCCCACTGATCACCGCCACAAAACTCCCCGCCTACCCCACTAGTCCGCCCCTTCCTCGTCCTCGAGGCTACTGCCTACAGCGCCCGGCCCCTTCCCCTCCTGCAGCTCAAACGCCGATAGTCTCCGACCGTTTTCCTGTGGCAACTTACGTTACTCCAGCCCCCCGGTAGACAATCAGAAAAGAGGCCAGAAAAATGCCCGAAGGGGGTAGGAGCGCAAGCTGGCAGAAGAACTCCGACGGAAAGCGCTCGACGAAAGCCACCCAGCGAAAGACGTCTGCCAAGACACACCCGACAGAAAAGACGTCTGACGAAAGACGTCTGACGAAAGACGTCTGACGAAAGACGTCTGACGAAAGACGTCTGACGAAAGACGTCTTTGACGTCTGACGAAAGTAAGACGCCAGAGCCAGACAAAAGACGCCCGACGACACCGAGAGACGCTGAGCGGGTGAAAGACATTTGACGCTTCACGAAAGCAAGACATCAATCTGGCGAAAGACGTCAGGGCCAGAAGACAGACGCCTGCCGACAGGTCGACGGCCGGCGACAGACATTCGACGAAAGACGTCCGGCAAAGGACACCAGACGAAAAACGTCGGGCGACAGACAGACCGGCGCGTGCGATGTCATGGCCATCGGACGACGGGCCGGCGCCAGACGTAAGCCGCCTGACGGCGTCGGCCTCACAGCCACCCCGAAGATGAAAGGTTCCTTCTCCGTTTTCAGGCTTCAACGCATACACGGAATTGGTCGCGGCTCCCACCGCGCAGGCGCACCTACGTAAAGACTTCGATCGCCGTGGCATCATTCTCCTTCTATTAGATTTTTTTCCTCTAACTAAATGATATTGTTATTGATATAATGATGCTGATCATAATGAAATTGAAATACGCAATTGCGGCAATTGCAATATTTTGTTTCAGGATAGAAGTTTTGTACATGTACTCCAACAAGACGAACGAATAATTGTGGCGAGTCAATGTGCAACTAACATCTCGAAGAAAATAGAAGCTTGCTTTTTGTGATTTTGACCACTCGGGGACCGCGGGACATCCAGCTAGGCAACAGTAGGGGAGGGTAGGTTACAAGAACAAGAAGCGAAGACGAGAACTTTCCGATTCGATTGCCGTGCTCCGTAGATGACGTCCACCGATTACTAGGCTCTGGCTGTGGCTTTCACGTCTACCTGTCTATTTATTTTAGTCATCTTTAGTTATGATCCCGACATTAGAATTAGTTAGGCATGACAAAAGGATTCGAGTTGCCGTTGATGGTACTGCTGGTGATCAGCCGATGCAGATGGTATACAACCAGATAGAATTTGGCTGAGAGTCAGACAGATGATGATGCGTGTATTTACCGACTCGTGAGATACCTAGAGAAGTTTCGACCGACACGGGAGATACCAAGAGAAGGCAAGTGGGATTTCCTGAACACCATTTTTCGCGGCTAGTCCGACAACCCGGATCCACCCTGTTTACGAAATCAATTCGAATACTTTGTCCCCTCAACGTCGAACTACAACTCAGGTTGCAATGTCGACGGTCGCAAGCGGGTTCAACTCCACTGTGACAAACCATCAATGGCACCAGGATGACAATGGGACCCGATATAGGCATACTTAGCTTCATGTTGGGCTCATAAGCATGATGACGTTGATGTGCCATTGTCTTCTCAAAGATCAATTTTGATTTTCTATATTTTGGCCTGTACTGCCCTGGCACTCTGAGTTGGGGCTCACGCCAATCTCATCAGTAAAGGCTGAACTACTGTAGCAAGAACGGCAATGAGCCACCTTCGCATCCTGTGAGTAGGGGAACAGACTCAGTAGGCGAATCACACCCGGCGGCGATCAGTAGGCTCAAAGCGGCACTGTTCCTTTTCCTAGCTGCGTGCACTTGAGGAGGACGCTGCCACGAAGGTAGCTCAATCTGCTGTAGCACTTGTTGCAATATCAACAAACTGTGCACTCCGCTCGCACTAGCGCTGCTGCTCTCACTTTTCCTAAACACGCGAGCGGGAATAGGAGATTCAGCAAATCTAGAACTTCCTGAACTGTCTCGATGCCCCCTCTGCTCCAGCCCCGTTCTTTCGCGATTTTCCTCGTCCATTTCAGCCAGAAACGCCGCAAGAAGATAGACTTCCTCGGATGACAGTAGAGATTGTCGAACCTCTTTGCACAACAAGGCTGTGGCTGTGCTACCTGTTTGTGCGGTCATGCTCCCCGCCATCAGATGAGCAGCTGGAGAACCACTTGTCGCAGCGATCATGCTACTGTTTGGATTCAGCTGTGATGTAGTTCCATTTCCTGCTATTGAGGATGCATTTCCATTTTCTTCGTCATCCCGGGGTGGGTCCCAGCTTAGTTTGTGTCTGGAGAGGAGCAGAGGCGCAATTGCTGTTGTATGTGCTTGATGGATGTGGTTGGCAGCTTCACGATAGACTGAATCTTCACCACGTTCAGACAGCACACGCGCGAGCAGAGGGGCCACTCCAGGTGGCGAACTAGATGAGCCTGCTGAGCTAAAAATGCCATTTTGTTGGTGGCCGGCGTTTCTTGTCGCACCCGAACCAAGAAAAGTAGCAGAGCTGTTGCTTTCATTGGGGACAGGTTCGTATTGTGGCTGCGCAAATCGTCCTCGTCCAGCGTTGATATGCTGGCCCTTCGACGAAGCCTTTGTGTCGTTAGCAACAATATCAAAGCTTTTTCCGTTCACGACGTCAGTAGGAAAGTCTACTCGATGACAATCACCATTCCTATCTTCACTCTCGAACTGTGTTGAGATAGAATTTCCACCAACTCCTAGCGCATTCCCTTGGTGAAACAGCGCCTCAACGAAGTTCGCTTTACGGATCAGAAACGTGACTATACTACCACGTGCCGCAGACGCATCAACGCGAAAGCGCCCCGCGGCCGCAGAAAGGAGCCACTGTCGCGTGTCTTCATTCGCAATACACCATCGCGAACCTCCATAAGATGAGTCTTTTGCTCTACCCCTCGTTGGCAGAGGCTCATGGTTAGAAGATGTACTTCTGGCGATATGTTGGCTTTCACCTGCTCCCTGTTCTTGCCCAGCATCTATTTGCTTCTTCCCTTGCGCTGGAGCTTCCAATTCAGGTTCCGAGTCAGAGTCTGAAAAAGGCCACTCTTCGCAATGCTGACGCAACCACTCTTCGATACTTGTTGAACCACTGTAGCTAGACCCGCTTGCATCACTGCGGTCGACACCTTCGAATGCATTATCCGCAATCTTAGCTGGAAGAAGACTCGACGATAGTCCAAACGACCCAGGTCGGGGCGCAATTTTCTTCTTCAACATTTTCGAAGATACGTCGTTGGACGACGTGAGCGTAAGCCCTTCTTTACCTTTTTCAGGCTGCAATTCTTGAGAAAGAGAATCGCTGTTGGAGGTAACGATTTTCCAGCCGCACGGGATCTCTTTATTTGTAACGACCTGGACGCCCTTTATACCACCTACTTCTTCTTTCATTCTCCGTCCTTGAGAAGGACAAGCAAAGCGCCTAGTGGTTGTGCCAACGTTGTATGTAGAGCCAGCCTCTTCCAGTTGTCGCTCTTTTACTAGCACGCTACCGGCTGAAAGCAAAAGCGTCTCCATGCGATGCCGTAATATAGGCGGGACTGAGGCAAATGGCGACAGACTCCACAGCATCTTGGCTAGCGTGTCGGTCGTGAGTCCTGTCACCGGTGCGACGCACAGGAGTCCTAACACAGGCCGTACATCGTCAAAGCACGCAGACAGGGAGTTAGGCGCAGGAAGGTTCCTTTTGGTTCCTGACGTATCATCTTCGAAAACGAACGCTGCTGGCACAGATGAAGTTATAGTAGCTAGGGGAAGGTCTTCACTGGACACAACTCGGGTAAAATTCCGCTCGAAGACCGCGTGAAGATACTCTGGCCCCAAGCCTGCCGGCATCAGGGAAAACTGTTCAATCGGAAGCGCCCCGGCTAGGTAGAGATTTAAGGCCGCGCGAATGTACATGTAGCTTCCGCGAGCATGCTTACACAACGTGTGTAATGCACTCGCAAAGGCTGGCACGAGTGCAGTCGATGTGGTAGTGGTACCCGTTGGAGATATTCTGTGAGTGGTATCGGAGGTTCCGGTCTTCGTACCCATGCCGTTGAGGTTGTGGCTTTCGTGCTCCAAGTACAGCTTCGAGTATTGGTATAAATCTTCGTCTATTTCCAAGAACGTGCCGTTTCTGTTATTGAGGTCTACGACTTCAACACTCTGAGTCTGGCTCTCTTGTGACGAATCTGAAGCAGCAGATGCCCCGCTCACCGCGTTTTTGCTCTGCCTCTCATTGGTGGCCGTGTAGTTTGCAGCAGCAGTACTCGTTCCACTTCCAGTTGTTAAAGTTCTTCCAATCATCCTCGGCGGACCCTGCTTTGTGGAGACAAGAATGTGCAAATTTTCAGGCCAATGATTCGGACCAAAGAGCATTTCCCGAAAGGCATCTGCATTCCCATTTTGCTCGAATACTAGCTCGTCATACCCGTCGATCACAAGCAGATAGCGTTGTGAAACAGTTCGAGACGCTGGCGGTACTCTAACCGCAGAACTTTTGCTTTTGCAACCGCCTGACGGCTGCGAAGTAGGTTGTCCCTGCTTTTCCGGCAAAGCAGAGCCATTGCTTGAAGATGTTCCCGTAGTGTCCTTTGCTGGATTTCCATCACCTATGACATTGGGCGCGCTAACGCTAGAGCGAACAACTCTCTGTTGACCTAGACCTGCTCTGCTTTGCAATTTTTCAAGGGTATCAAGTACAGCAACGACTTCTGTTGATGGCGTACCACCAGACTTGCTGCGCGCTTGACCCGCACCTTCACCGAGCACCCCTTGAACGACTTTTGACAAGAAAACGTCCCGCCACACCCTCACTGGATCTTGCACCACCGCGGGTGGACTAAGTTCCCGACACAAAGCAGAACCACACATCATCGACGTAACGGAGGTTGTCTGTTTCGTCGTACTAGTTGTCGAAGTTGTTACACTTTTCGGAGACATCATCACCTCTAATTCCTGTGCCGTGGTGGACAATGCTTCGCGTACGGCCCTTTCATGAGCCAATGCATGCCCAATCATGTTGGAAACGAAGAACGCAGGATCCATAGTCTCTTCCCTAGTACGGTCAAAGAAATGGTACCCAAGGATTCGCAGGACGTGGCGTCGAATCGAACTGGAATCGCTTTCAAACAGAAGGTCACTTGGCTGTGTCCGACACACGATTTCTCGTATCAGAGATGACTTCCCCGTGCTTTCACTGCCTTTAAGTACAACAGCTCTTTTGTGCTCCAATAAAAACGCCTCACGTATCCGACGGAACAGCCACTCGCGGCCAACTAGGGGCGGAATCGGGATCATGGATGCCTGAAGGGATGATGTTTCTTCACCTTCACGCTCTTTTTTCATTTTCTCGACCTCCTCCTTGATCGAGTAATACTGCGTCCAAGCCGCTCTCGTGCCGCGGATTTGACTGACGAAGACGTCGGTGTCAGCACAAAGTTCTCGCCAGGTCACTAGGTCAGCCCCAGGAGTGGTTTCCGTAAACATCGTCCCACGACCCTCAATTCCGCCAGCTCCTGCTATCACATTCTGTCTCATACGCGCTAATGCCTGTGACGCTGGCATCATCTGTTTCGACGACTCGCCTCGACAATAAGCTACAGTGCTAAGGCGGTCGACAAAATGCAGTCTTTCCGATTTACGCACATGGATCTCCATCACGTAAGAACCAAAAGACCCATCTTCCGATGGAGCGGACTCTGACCTTTGCATTCCAGACGTTTGCAGTTGCTTCGTGTGCTTGTTGTCCATGAGTGGGGTAGAGTTCACATACGTCCGTTGAAACGGTCGGTAAATCTTCACAAAACGAGCTTGCACACTGCCGGCCGGCACCGGAGGGTCCATCATTTGACTCAGACGACTGTCCAACAAAAGCGCAATCTTGTCCAAGTCTTTGTCCGACAACAGCAGATGGCCTCGTTTCGCGTCTAGAAAGCTTCGCACAGAGCAATCTTTATCTTCAATGCCGATCGCTAGCATGCCTCCTTCGGTATTCAAGAGCGCGTTAACGTGGCCCTTCTTCAGGTACCTGTGAACTGCTTCCAGTGCGTGTCTCGCCAGACACTCTTGGTGATTGCAAAACATCTCATCAATAGAAGGTTTTTTTGCTCCTGTAGACGAGGAGTCTGCGCCTGTCGTACCATTGGATGAGGACTGAAGAAGGCACTTTGCTGTACGTACAGGTTCAGCCCACGATTTGTACTCGCGTGTTTTCGATTCCCCTAAATGGAGGATCTCGCCTTCAGTATACCCATGTATGCGCAACGTCAGAACGGGCAAGTCGTGCTGAATAATTCCACCTGGTGGCACGCGGGTCTTTACAGGATCTTGTGAAGCTGGGTCACCTCCTGCACTGGACGAGGACACAGATGAAGACGGCAATCTACCAAACGCTGCAGCTTGATCTGCTACCAAAAAATCCTTCACACGAAAGGGCGTGGTGCGTTGCTGTCTTCCTCGCCCAGGCTGAGGGCCATCGGTAACCACAACCGGACCTGTTGACAGAGCGGACGTCTTGCCCTTTGTTTTGGAATTGGCAGAGGCAGCATTTCCATTTGCACTTTGTGACAGAACTACAGCTCGAGTCGATGTTTTCCCGCCAGCGCTCAATCCTTTCCCTTTCCCATTTTTGTCCGGCTTTCCAAGTCCTGCTCCTGTTTCGGATGGAGCAAGAGGAGCATCATACGCTGTACCTTTCTCGTTCGCGACTATGTCTTCGAGCGGCCCAAGCTGTGGATGCACGAAAACGACATTTTCTCCCAGGTGCAGGCCTCGACGTGGACCCATTCTCGCAGGCCCAAATTGCTCTGATAAACGTTCCCGCACCTGCGCCAACGTAAAATTCAAGGGTAGTCCGCAAACGACGCCGACACGCTCTTTTGCGCTGAAACGCTCGAGCAAAGTTTTGTCCTCAAACGTCCAGTACGACCGTTCCACGAACACCTCAAAATCAGCAACAATGTGCGCATTGTGCAGGCTTTGCGGATCGTTCGGTGTCAGCGGGTTTCCCCGGCTCCAAGCAGAGTTCCAGATCGATTCAGAAGCCCCGCGACTTGACGGAGTCCCACCGGGCAAAGCCGGTGTTGGATCGCCATGGCCATGCCTTTGAGTCGCACCGCCTAGGGCTAACGCATTGTTAGCACATGCTGAGCTATTTTCGGTTTCATCTCCTCGTGCCATCGGGGTGGGCAAGCAAGATGACACTGGAACTTGATGCACGTGGTCCGATGCGATAGCGCCATCAGCTCCACGACTCTCGTCCATGAGTGAATAATCCGGCTCATGACTCGTCTGCCCGACAATCAGGTGCTCTCTCAGGATCACATCGGGACTCTCCTCGATATCGAGCCTGCCCGGATTTGCACGGCCCTTCCGTCCCCACGGCGCACGCTGTTGGCGGACCCGCGGCGTGAAAGCAGGAAAACACAGTTCGCAATCGGTCCGCTTGCAGTAGCATTTTGCTCGTACATCACGCACATTTTTTGCGCGTGGTTGGTGCGCAGGCGTCGAGGAGGACCAGCTTTGAGTTCCGACTGCCGGGCCAGCGCGCTCTTCCTCCTTCTTGTTCGTGGTGCCGTTTATCGTATCTCTTGATGTTTTCCTGTCACTTTGTCGTTTTTGTTCTGCCATCTTCGTGCTCTCGTGAGGTCATCCTTCAAAGTGATCACGACAGCACGCAGCAAATGAATTGAAACTGAGCAATATGTTTTAGGCAACTACCCATCAACCCAAGCTTAATCATCAACCAACGATAAAACACAAACAACCTCCACGGAGGAAAAAACAATTGTTCTGTCACAAGCTGATGCTACATCACAAGATGGACAAAAGGTCAAATCAAGTAACCGAGCCTGTTGCTGGGGAAAAGAACAACGTAAAGCTTCCTGGTGCAATCATGTCTCCACCTTCACGTACCTCAACCTATTAACTAACGGCTAATACTGCGCGGGCGCACAAATGAAAAAGTAACATCGATCACGGGGAATCAGGGGTTATCAAGAGGAAGTAGATAACACCAAAAATGTCAATGTAGAATAATGCTCGCGGCGCGCATCATAGAAGTTAAAGTCAACGAGTATTACCACTCCCTTAGGTACGTAGGCAGCGTGCGGATAACTACGATCCTTGTTGACATTTTTGCTTTTGGATGTTTATCAACAACGTTGTTTAGATCCGTTCACCTCTAAGATCCCTGGGTCCATGCAGTTCAAAGATCCATGCGTGCATTTTTTTCCCTCTTACTTGTCCGACTCCCAACTGTCTTAGACAAAAATCACATCTATCAACGTCTATATCAATTTTTGCGGGTTATTTTAGAAATTTGAAGACACGGAAATGCAATGGTCCTCGGGTGGTTCCTCTGATATGATGAATGGAAGAGCGTGTCGCTGAAAGGAGAGTTTTCTTGCCGCATGAGAGAGTGTGGGAGGTGTTGTTGAGGGTGGTTGTCTTTTCCTGTTCGCCTTCTGTCGTCAGCAAGGAGGTGAACAGGAACTTTCGTCAGCAACATCTGTTCCATGATGTCAAATGTAAATGAGCGCTATAATCAGCCAAGTTTTATGCCTTCTAGAAACTCGTCTGAAACCAACGGCCAGGCTACCAGTTGTGCTATCCCCACTTGAGCATCAAGAGGAATATTTCGATCAATATTCCAACCACAAAGAAGATGATGCATTTCGTGGCACGGCTGTTATCAGCAGCCTTCTTCGCTTTATGCAACTGCAAATTCGCTTCCCGAGATTGCGAAACTACCTGTTCTACGTTTTAGTTAGACCCCAAAACGCTTCATCATCCTGAGTGTGTCGTCCCTTATCTGAGGGATGATGGATTGTCGAACTGCTCACAGAGAGTAATGATCTACGACTCAGCTGCATCATACGGCAACGACACGACTCGATGAGGAAGTGCAAGAAGTGCTACAGTTCTTAATGTAGTCAATCCGGTCGAGCATGGTTCCTTGATCTATAACCAAGGCCGCCATTTCTTTGAAAAGCGTGTGGAGTTCCGTAACACTCTGCGCAATCTTCTTGATCTCCTCGTTCCTATGCGTCACATTGAATTCCACGTCCTCCAGCTGTAAAAGCTGTCCGTCTGTGAGCTGGCCAGCGTGCTGCTGTAGACTGCTGCCGCGGTCGCTGGAGGAGGTGGGAAGTTGGTGCACCAGTCGAGATCGAGTTGGACACCACAATGGCTTTGGGGAAGGCGAAGGTCGAAGAAGTCGAACTAAAAATACTGAAGTAGAAGTACAACGATAGACGTGGACAATGACAAATATGTCAAGGCGAACAAGGCGCGGAAGATTTATTATTTAGATTAGAAGTAATATCATCTGTATCTGCATCTCCCACACCCATAAGACGACCGGATCAAAGAGTGAAAGATACTTAGGATCGTCCCAGAGCATATCTGGGTTGTTGGATCGCCCTTTGAGGCCTGCAAGGTAGCTCTTCTGGCACATACGGAATTCTCCGGACAAGTTCTGCAATTGCGTCGCTAGATTCCGCTGCGCGTTCTGCCGCAATACGTATTCCTTATTAGTTATACCTAGCATCGTGAGTAGAAAGAGAACTATTAGTGTCTTTCTTTCACCGGTGAAGATGGGTCCTCGCGCTTGATGATGTTACTGAAGATGAACTTGAACTACGATATCTCGCACTTGATGTTGTAAACTACATGTACCTACATCATACTTACGCATACCCACGACATCCGTACTAAGCGATCAGGAAGTGCAAGAAATAGGAAGTGGTTTGATACCGAGATCAGCTCCCTTCGTCTGGATAAGACGCACTTGCGCCTCGCATGTTCGGAACAAAGCACTTATCTGTGTTGAAATCACCTCGATTTCACGATCCGGCGTATCGCTATCTGGCGCAAATACCTGGGTTAACAACGGGGTTGTGAATTTTGTTGATTTCGTAAAAGTAGTTCTTACAACCATCTTGATCTTCTTCTTCAATATCTGAATAAGCAAGAACAGCAGCACGACGATCGTGTGGAGAAAAACCAACCATGCAACAAGTCCAGTGGAGCTCCAACTAGAGAAAGAGAAAGAGAAAGAGAAACAAAGAGAAAGAGAAGGAGAAAGACATTGATGCACCTGTCGCAGTCGTTTCTGCTGTGCCTGCTGCAATTTGGTGAGCTTCTCACGAATTTTAGTGAGGTTGTCCTGCGTTTCGCCAACTACGTCCATCCATTGAGGCGGAAGGACATCCATCTCGATGTCATCATCGGCGCCGCGTCCAGGTGACCGAGAAGAGGAACTCTTGTATGAAAAAGGACTATGACAATGACTATCCGAGCTTGTAGCAGGAGTACCAGAACAAGAACTCTTCTAGGGAAAGGGAAATGAGTATCCACTAACAACTATCTTCTAGAATTACTAGCATCTTTACGTCTACGAGGCTTCGTATCATAAAGATGATCCGCCGGATTGTCCCGCTTGGTTCGAGAGTAACCGCGCACTCGTATTTTCGGTGAGGAATGAGCCAGCGAATCTGTTTTTCTTCTGTTTGTGGTCGGCCCTGTACTTCATGTACGTCGAAGTTAAGTTTCGGGTTATCATCTTGCCAACGAACGAGTATTTGAGGCGTGGCCTATGCCAGCGTCCTCAGGTAGAGCAGTCGTCGAAGTAGGGAAGAGATGTCCGACACGCGATTCCTCTGACTTAGCTTCAGCTGACAGATTTCTCTTCGAATCTGGACGGTTGTAAACGAGTCCTCTGAAGGAGCTCTCTTTTCGATTGCGCGAGAAAAGGTAGGGTCGCTTCGTTGGCTTGAAGATGAACGTCTCAGGATATCGTGCCGAAGAGAGTCTACTACTGGAGAGGTTGTAGCAAGAACCCTTACGATTACATAAGCACCATGTTGTTTATCGCTCCTGCTTATAAATAAGTATGTGCTTTCTAGGAAAAAAGTCCTTCACTCCAAACCCAATCAAAAGAGGTGCTCTGGTCTCCTCATGTGGTCACTACTCCTCAAGATTTTTGTAGAAAAGTTGATTGCCCAATCCATGACTACTTTGAAATATAAAGATGACGCCTTCGTCCATCGAACATATTACAGGTCGTTCAGAGCTGTCAACTAGTGGTCCATATTTCCCTCTAAAGAACTTACATCTACAGACCAAGACTGACTACATGCTGCTATGGAGTCCATCCCTTCTAGTTGAAGAGCTGGACAGGCCCTTCAGATTTGTCCTCAGCCTTTTCTCTGTGTTCCTCCATAGCAGGAGCACGAGCAAAGTATCGAAAGGATCCGCTTCTGGCTCTGTTTTAAACACAACAACCACATCGAGTTTTTGCCTGTGTTCAAGGAAGCTTACCTCCACGTTCACCTCGTCGAGAACCCTGCTATTTTTGTTCCCGTATTCCGCGATGTCTGTGACGATCTTGTCCCCAAGATATTAGTGCTCAGGGAGCTGCAGCTGATCATCATGTCTAAGATAAGTCTGCCAAAACGTGGGTTTATCATGACAGTTGTTCGTCTTCGTGTTTGCAAGTACATGATGTATTAAATGCCAACATCGAAATGGTGCTAGTATGCTTCAGTCAAGTACATGCTTCATCCAGTGCAAAATTGCCATCACTCAATTTCACCGCCTTTTGCTTGAAGAAAGCAAATCGGATACGGAAATCTTACGAGGATGTCGAAATATTCAAAATGGATGAAGTTCACGACTGTACTTTAAGGAGCATGCCACACCGTCCTCCTAAGTGATCATATATTGATTGTTCCTCTGAGGATGACGGTCACAATACTTGTACTATCTCTTTATGTTCGCGATCTATAAGAACAATCTTAAATAAATTCACCATCATCTCATGTACTTGTTGTAAGAAGTTCGGTCTTGTTCTTAATAATATGACAGATAGACAACACTGCGTAGGTTAGACTTTTTGCTAACTACAGATTTACTACAATTGATCTTAGTAAGTATTTGCATTTCGCAGACAACAGATGCAGAACTTTGATGTAAGTACGTGTATTACCACGACAACATCAACAGGTATCTATATTGGCTATGAGCATAGTTGATAATATGATCTATATGAGTGAGCCTGAACGTTTTAGCAAACACCAAGAGAGCTCCACCAGGTTTTGTTAGTGGATTATGCTCGATTTTTTATCATTAGAAGATGAACTACACACAAAATATAATCCAGTGCTGGTGGACCAAGAACTTCCGCTCGTTCGCCGATTGTTTAAGTCCTTGTCTGAGTCTGGGGCGCGTGCTTCATCTTCATGCGGACAAGAGCGGAAGTCGTTTTTCTACTGATGATAGTAGTATTACTACACATGATACTAGTATTTTTTCTCGTCTTACCACGGTTCTTACGTATACACGACAAAAGAAGGGGCTGGGGCTCGTACACCTGATACGATAGCCTCATCAGATTCCGATTGTGCTAGGCCGCGACCAGATACTAGTGCGAGTATGTAAAGAAGCGTGTATGCAACATGGGGCTCCTGTACACGAGTGCTGGCTGCAAGTGTTCTATTTTCAAAGGTGACTGTACATTTCCCGCAACATGATTGGAACCGGTTGTATTCTTGGTGTTGAAATTGAATCAAGATTCTGATCCAGTTAATAATAATTCTACCCAGAGTTTTCTTTCTTCCAAAATGTAAGTAATCGCCTCACGAGGACGTAGTCGGTCTTCTAAATTCGACGCTGGGACCAGCTACTGCAGCTGCATCTGCATGTACATCTTGAGCTAGAAAGGCTTCTGAGGCTACCACTACGTAACGTAGAGAAAAAGCTTCTAAGTTTCTGTCAACGTCAAGCACTCGTCCAATAACTCGCTTAACAGCACCAGAAAAGCGCACGTTTTTTTTTTCTGCTGCTGGGCTGCGACCATTGATTCAGCTTCAAATGAGTTCGCGAAAGGTCATCAAACGGCTCACTGTCCTGGACTTGTGCGCAGCCACCAGCGCAGCAACTCCACGCATTGCGGAGCATATTTCCAGTCCGCGCAAGGCAATTGGAACTGTCGTATTGTCAAGGATTATAGTGATTTTGAGGCTCAACATCAACTACGTGGCAATGAAACTAGAACTGTGAAAAGAAAAATAGAATAGGCAATACATTATATTAGAACAAGAAATTTGTGTTTCCGTTTCATCAACTTTATCACAATTTTTCATGCTAGTGACTGAGAAGAGGTTGTCCAGTGTCATCGACCCAAGAACCATAATGTTTCAATACTGTTGAAGTTCGTTGTAAGTACTAGTTGACTCTCTTCATTTATCGGCTCCTCTGGTCTTTCATCAGCAACACATTCACATTGTTAAAAGATAAAAGAGACTCTCTGTAGTTATACTTCACCGGGAAAGCAGCATGACTGTCTCAAGAAGATATTCAAAGTAGGTCAAAAATAAAGTAGTACTTTTTGATGCAGTGTTTCTCTTTGTCTTCCGGGAGCTGTTGTAGATTCAGCGTATTCGCGCTCAATGCACTGGCAGCAAGTAGCGAGACGTAATTCAGGCAATTGCTCGCCAAGAGGTCGTAAGTAGTCGTAGCCGATATCGTCTCCGACGCCAACCCGAACGCATCCAGTGGTGACTTATCGGAAAGCAGGTACCCCAATCGCTCGGCAATTAGAAGATAATTGTGAGGATATGCAACCGGTGCTGGCGCGCTTCATTTATTGAAGATGTTCTTCCACACAACGTTAAGGATTTTTGAGAGAACACGTTCATGTCCGCTAAGTCGTATGCAGACGGTGCTTCATATCCATCCTCTTTCTCGTTTTAAAGCAGTGCTGACAAGTAGAAGAGTGAGAGTGCGAATAAATGCGCCAGGTATTTTTACTTCAGCCTGAAGTTGTAATGCCTGCTGCAGTTATTCTTCTTAAGTATAGTGTAAGAAGTAGTTTTCTTAAGGATAAATACGATGAGCCTTCATCAATTGTCAATCGTCGAAGTGGAACTGAACTCAACCTCACACTCATCATCAAAAATTTAACAGATTTTAGTTTCTTCGGTGTTATCAAACAACCCAAAGATCATAAGTATGAGACCATCGACCCATGTGCTCGGTCTTGTCCCGGAACCCCGTTACTGTAGATGAAGTTTCCTCCTCGTGCTAATTCAAATCTCAATATTTTGTCCTCATTTGTCGGAAATTCTACTGCGGGAAAGTCAAAGAAGACCGAACCATGGTGAGCACGCGTGAGGCCCAAGATACAATCACCAGCAAGATTGTACTTCACAAAATGCATTAGGCCTGGTCGTCGTGTGAGAGGAAGTGGCAGTGGTAGTGGAAGTATCAGGTCATAAGCACGAGTAGAACTTTTACATTGGTAACTACTACAACTATACATAGAGGGTACAACTAGTAGTCAACCGTCTACTAGAAATTCAAATTTCGTAGATAGAATATGAATCAGTATCTATCAGAATACCAAGGTTTTCCCTCAATAGGGACAAGTTTTTTGCTGCCTCTTCCTCGCTGATGCAGTATGTGGATGCTTGGATCATGTATTCTGTTTGCGAAAAGACCTGGAGGTTCATCTGGTTAGTCGGTTGGCCGGGCGGCATCACCGTTCCGAGGGGGCGCGTAAATTTATGCATGGAGATATTCTCCGTCAAAATTTGGCCGCCCTTGACCAGTGGCGTTATCGATGGCATCATCGGGTTAGAAAAGTACACCAAGCTGCGGGGCCTTTTCTGCGAAAACTTGACCATATCCTGAAGGTTGAATGCATCAGCAGAAGCGGCACGGCGACTCCGTCGGCGAGAACTGGGTAGCAAGGTCGGACCCGATCCTGTGAACGCGCGTTGAAAAGCCGGAAGCATAGGTGCGTATCCGGATAGCTCGACAGAGTTTTGTCCGCTGATCAGCGGCGCACAGGAAGCGTCGCGCACGCTTCCACCCTGCAGCAAGATGTTCATGCCTAAGGCCCCACCTGGAGCAGGCCCCACGCAAAAGAAGCAAATAACTGTCACGACAACGTGGAAGATGTGCGAAGACCACAACATCGCCTTGTTGCTCTTCGACAAAACACCCGCCGACGGAAGCTGTTTCCAAGAGCCAGAAGTTGCCACTAAACGATGAAGACACGACGAAGAGGAGCGCTTTTTCTGAAGTTCATGAACATGCGACCCTTCTTCTAGACCAGCATGATGAGGCGCTAGTACAAGTAGACCGCCTTGATGAAAAGACGAGGATTGATGTTCTTTTCGACACATGGACGCTGTTCTTGAAGTGGTTGTCGCAGCAGAGCTCCTTTTTGCGCATGCCCAAGATGCGCTACTTGCACATCCCGTTCCTCTATTACGGCTAGCTTTTGGTAGCTGAACCTGCGTCATATCGCCCGTACTGATCGTTTTACTAGCACAATTGAGCGTCATCATCTTCTCTTTTCTTCTTCTTCGACTTACTATCCTGGACACTCGTTTGCCCCCCTTTCTACTTGATTTTGTCTACCTTAATATTGTAAAGGAGTAGATGGATACTGTAGTGAGCCTTTGCTCCCTACCGTGAAGTAGTTAAACGGCATAGTTCCAATCCATGAAGATCAACAGGCACACAATGATCAGTCGCTCTGATCCGATGTAATTTGATCGATCAGGATGAATAAAATCTTGTATTTAGACTACATGGCACTAAGTAACAGCATCAGAGGACATATGTAAGCAGTCGTAAGAACACAGGAGGAAAAGGCAGCAGTGTCTCGCTCTTTTTGCATCTTCCACTTCCGCATCATCTCGCGAAAGACTGTGGACGTCGTATTTCTTATCAACGTGAGCAGTTTCGTCTTGTCCAAGGGGTGAACAGCACAAAAAGTTAGAGTTCTCGAAAGTAAGACTAACCTCATGATCGTCGAGGACGATTATGTTAACAACTACCACTGGTTCGTTGTAACGATGTTCAGACCCCGCATGAGAAATGCGCTCTTTCTCGGTGGTTGCGCCACTTTCGCGAAGTAGGCAGTAATCGGCAGTTGTTTAGCGCTTGCTGTGCTACTTTCTTTCGCGGTCGGATCCTCTTCTTCGTGAAAGTCTACGTTCGCGCAGTTTTTTTCCATCATTTTGGCGGTTGTTTCCCACGAAAAGCGCACAAGTCTCGGGAATCCAAAAACGTGTTGCATATTCTTCTCCATCCACCGTATCGTTGCTTTGTCACCGGGATACCCGCAGCCAAAATCACGCGTCACAATCTCAACATTCCTCTCCGGAAACTGAAAGTCCTCTAGTAAGCCGTCTCGCACAACTTTTGCCACCACACTAGCTGCAGACACGATTTTGTACAAGCTGTCAGCCTTCTTCGCCACGATAATGGTCGGTATTTGCGGAAACAGATCCTTTAGCACCCGCGTGTACCGTTCTGGGTCTCCGACGGTGTCAACGTAGAGACCCCGAACTTTTCGTGCGACGTTCGGGGCAGCTAAAACTTCTCGGATCATCGCCGTAGTAGCATTTTGCGCGATCAAATTCAACGAAACTCGCGTGGCGCCTGAAAAGATTCTATTTCTAGCGTGGTCAAAGTTAAACGAGCATAATCATCATCAAATGTAGATTATGTAGATGTTGCACAAATCAAAAATCCGTCTTAGGGTAATCGCCAGCAATCCTTTTTGTCGAAGGTATTCTTGATGACTTCGATTCTCATCATATGTATAAGGCAAACGCAAAGTTTTTGACCTTTTACAGACACACACATCATAATCGTGAAAAAACTCAAGATTCATCTCAAGCTTCCGCCTAAATTCTCTTGAGTACGAGTACCTGTCATATCCCTGCTGAGACGATCCGCTGATGAGATGTGTGCTATCCAGCCTACTTTTGCCCGCACAGCCTCGAACATATCGGCCCTTTGTGTGATTGTGAGTTTCTTCGAGTCGTCGAGCTCACTGGCAATCAGAGATTGAAGATCTGCCGTCTCTGGCGCATAGGCGAGGCCGTACACCATGGGGCCAAGCACGGGACCTCTTCCTGCTTCGTCAATCCCAAGAATGATATCCTCGTCAGGAAAACTAGGGAGCTGTCCATACATGGTGACCTGCGCCTGTTGTTGCGCAAATGAAGAAGATGAACTGCTGGGATTTGACGTCGCTAGATTGACATGATTCGGACTAAGTGTCAGATTTTGCTTGTCTAAGCGCAACACCGGCAAAGCGCGAGCGTCAAATACTGGAGGAGGTCGGTGCGCAAGTTCCTTTATCTTGGATTTCTTCTTGCTTGATATTTCTGCAGCGGCCCTGTGGTCCTCCCGAGCAGCTGATGATGATGTTGCCGAGGGTTCATTTGGTCCTTTGTTCGCCGTAAGCGCGACGTTGCTCTTTTGTGGTTCCTCGTCTTCTCCGTGCTCTTCTACATGGATACTTATCGTTTTCTCAGCAACAGTAACGCCTTCAGAAGCCGTTGCATTTGAGGTCGTATCTACTACTTCTTTTTGCTTCTGATCACGTTTTCTCACCGGGACTTTGTCGGACGACGCAACACCATCCGCAGAAGCCGCCTTTTTTGGGCCTCCAGCATTCTTCGGAGCCTGCTTCTTCTTCATCGCAGCTGCCGCGCCGCTCTTTGCTTTGGCTGCGGATTTTTTCGAAGCAGGCGCTTTCGCAGTACCCGATGAAGACGATGTGGCGCGCGCACCTCCTGTAGTGTCCGGCACGTTAGGCTGCTGGTCGTCAGCCGAAGGGACGTCCTTGATGTCCCCGCTCATTCCAGAAGCAATGGGTCGATCAACACCAGTACCACTCGCCTCTTCGACCTGCATAGGACCTTCCATGTTTATGTATACAAGAAACCGGGGTCGCCCCTTGGGCGACCCCTCCTTGATAGCAGCACAGTCACAGGCACAGAGTAGACACATAAGAGAAAGCAAAAAAAAAGCGACTGAGGCACGGAGCGCCCGCCCCTTGGCCTTGGCGGCTGCCGTCGAGATGATGGAGAAGAACAAAGACCGAAGCAACTCACGGAACCCAGAACCCTGGCGCGCGGAATCAATTAGGCACGCCACGCCAATGAGACAGGCCCGGCGGACATTCATGCGTGCGCGGGGGCGGGCTGGAGGTGTTGCCAATGCCGTAAGGTGCGCCCGACGTCGGTGAGCCCTCCCAAGCCCGCGCGCCCTGCTCGTCTTGTTCGCTGGTCCCGCTCAGCTTGCC